TGACCACTTCTTGATTCTGACATCTTCCTCTTCGGGCGACGGTCGGGTTCACCCGACTTTTTTCCGGACTCGGAAATAGGCCGGGCGTTCCCATTCATAGCCTCGCCGGGGTTGTCGTTGGTAGGCGCCATCGCAGAAGCGTTATGCTTGAAAATGTCCATTAGGAGCGTCGAAGGAAAAATGAAGCGGAGAAGCGAGCGGGTCTTTGCCAGTTTGACGGGCAAAAACTGAACTTGAAATTTTGAAAATGAAAACGTGGGTGACGCCAAATGGCCGAAACCCCTTCTTTTGTAGTCAGAGAAGGGCGAGTAGCGCTTCGACGATGCTTTCGTGTGTTGCGTGCAAGCAGCTGCGCTTTCACAATAAGTAATTTTAGAAAGTGTAGTACTTTCGAAAATGTACACATTTTGAAAAGGGATTCTCATAATGAGTGTGGATGTTGCGAAGGTGCCACTTCGGCAACCATTGTTCAGGAAGCCACGTCATGGAGAATACTTGCAGAGGCAAATTTGGTAGTACCTGAGTCAGCAGGTGGAAGAATCCGCGCATCGCAAGGGTAAAAATGTACGAAGTATTATAAGTGTCAGTATAATATTGCAGTTTTGATTAGAAGATACATGTCTTATTGTGTACACACAAATAGGTGTCTTAAAATCAGGGCCTCATATTCGTTTTTTGCCTGTCTGATTTGTCATACTTAGTACACTGTGTTAGTCTGATTTGATCAGAGTGGGTTGAAAAAAAAGGCTGAAACTTCAGAGTGTCTAAAAAAAATAGTCTGAAGCATTTAGAGTCAACACCAGTGAGAAGTCTGATTTTGATTTCAGTCGTGTTGTATAGGGTGTTGTTAGGCCTACAATGGTTATTACTGCTCATGCATTAACAGTTAGATTTACCTATATACCCACCTATACTAGGGCTATATAGATCCAATCATATCTACTCATTAATCTATTCATCAAATCCATCATCATTATCACTATCAGAATCATTATCCTCCTCTATGTCTTCTACTTCCATCACTTCATCTGCCTCCTTGGCCTTGTTCTGTTGCTTTCCTGCAGGCGGGAGAGGAGCGTTGCTGTGGGGCTTGCGCTTCTTGTAGGCCCTCCAGATTGTCACGATCTCCTCCCACTTGGGCTCGTAGTCCATGAGGCTCATGCTCATGAGGTTGCCCAGCCGTGCATCCTACAGCGAGCCTCTCTGCCACGACTTGATTATGTTCTGCCTGGAGAACCCCCGCTCGCACTCCACGGTGCTCAGCGGCAATACAGCTACCGCCACCCACAAATGCACAAGGTTGGGGTAGTTGTCCCGCCAGTCCAGTGTATTGAGCATGGCTGTGAGCCCCGCGTCAAAGCTGCGCTCGCCCTTGGTAGAGGCTGCAAGCACTGAGGTAAACATGCGCAGCTCCTTCTCTACACGGTGCTTGTTGACTCCTGGAGGGATTGGGAAAAGGATAACAAAAGAATAGAATGAGTAAACAAATACATACATTCGTTGAAGCGTCGCACTGAACACAAACAAAGCAACGATGCAGCATGATATAAAGACTATACATAAAAGGCTTACATGGCACGATCTCTTCCTTCAGGTCGGCCTTGAACAAAGTGACCAGCGACTGTAACCACTGAAGGCACCTCCGTTTCCTCTCGGCTTGATCCAGCGGGTACTCGTCTGGCAGGAACAGCTTTACCCCATAAATCCCATCCAGGTTGCCTAGTCGATGCTCGAGTTGGTGAACAATCACCTCTGCGAACTCCGTGCAGAGTTCCACAAAGTCATCATGGGTCTCGGGCCCTTCGAACTCTTCCAGCTCGTCCTCATGCAGCATGAATTTGAAGCGTGCTGGATGGCCGTCCGAGTCAATCCCTTCCACTTTCACCTCCTGGGAGCCTCCTGGCCCATGGCGCGCAATGAAGGGGGACAGCAGCTCGCTCACGCCATCACCGAAGTTGTCGCCGCAATCAAAGTAGCGGCTCTCAATGTGGGACGTTGTGCGCTTGATCTGCGCGTGCACGCTTGCATAGTCAAGCTGGACAGGAAACCAAAAAAAGGTAGTTAGTAGAAGTGGATGGTCACAGTTAACATAGTAGAAACGCGACTACAACAAAAAATTAACAGAAAACTATGGCCAAGCTCACCTCCTTGTGCTGGAACGCCCGGTTCAGGAATGAAGCACATTAGTAATGAAGAAGAGAAGGAAATGAAACTTGTAACTTTTAACCAGAGCATAGAGGTTCGCGTCCCACTCCTTCAGCATCACAATGAGTGCTGGAAGCACCACGACAAGCCTGAGCACTGCGTCGCCCTTTGAAAGCCATCGGATGGAATGAATGCCCTGGAGCTCAAGAGAGGTGGACGCGAAGACTTCCTGGAGCCCCATAAAACCGTTGATGCCACGGCCCCGAACGGCCAAGATGCTCTGCCACGGTGCGAATCACCGTGTCAATGACATTGAACGCTGGAATCTTCTTGGCCGCTATTTTAGCCGCGAGTATCTCCCTATACAAAAGATGGAAACAACATTAGTACATAGGGAAAGTAAACAATCGTAAAAGATGCAAAACAAGTTCAGGGGAAAACACATACATACATACCTGTGCGCGATACAGTGGGAAGACACCAGTTGGGGGATGCGCAGTCGGAGGCGTGTGGTGAGGCCAGACTTGCTGCCCGTCATGACGTTGGCACCGTCCGTGCTGATCCCCGCAATGTGCTGAAGGTTGACCCTGACAGCCTGCAGATGTGATAATAGAACACTGAGAAGGGAAGTTGCGTCGGCCTTCTCCACGGTGAGTAGTGCCATGAACTCCGTGACAAGCTTGTTGTCACGGATGAAAGTGATAAAGAGGATCAGGTGCTTCCTGCTGCACCTATCCGTGCTCTCGTCAATCGCGATGCCGACGAAGGGCGACGCCATGTCGCAGTCGCTTGCGTCAGCTCACCGAAACCGTATCTGCATGCACATAGAAACAATAGTGAGAGCATTATCATCGGGATAAAACATTGAGACATCAAAGTGCATTAAATAACTTGTGGCAGTTGCACCCACGTGGTGTAGTAGGTGCCGTACCCCTTCTTCGGGAAGCCAGGCACGCCCTTCTCTGCCAGGTAACACACCAGCTTCACCCAAATCCCCATCGGCGCATCGGAAATGCTGATGAACAGTAGGGAGTCGAGAAGGGCGACGACGCGCGACTGCTCTCCGTCCATGGTGGCGCGATGCTGGTCGATCTGCGGCTGCCTCTCTCCGCACTCTTGCATAGCTGTTTGTCTCGCCATCGCCAGCTTGTGCTTCGCCATAGCTGGGTCTACAAGCCCGTGGTGCCTTTCCCGCGTCTCCGGCACTTGCCTCCGCCGCCAGCATAAGCTGCACAAACAGTACACTTGAAGGCAGGCAAGCCGGAGGTGGTTTTGGTGATTTGCAGCCATGGAAACCGTGCTTGCTACTGACTCTTGAACTTGTCAATTGCATCATCGTACAGCCCTTCAATGAGCTCGGTCAGGTTTATGGTGAGGCGAGGACGCGGACGCTCAGACGAGCCGGGAGAATTGTTGACGTCGGCGGTTGAGGATGAAGGCTTGGCGAAGCTCAAGGTCGCCTGCTTGAGCCGGATGGTTCGCTCCGTGGTCTTAGTGGGATGGTGCGAAGCCGAAACGACAGTTGGTTCCGCAGGTGTCTCTGCCACAGGGTCGAAATTTGAGAACACGGGTGTTGGAGGTTCCTTCGAGGTGGGGATAGAATTGGGCTCGGCGCGTGCTGCCTTCTCGAGAGCTAGGTGACTGAGCAAATAATCTAAGCCTGTTAACGCAGGCTAACAATCAGGGTCGTCGTCATCGCAGGTAGCGGGATTGTCGGGCTGAGCCATGGCGCTGATCTGAGAGAGCCTGCCAAGCAGGAACGAGAGGCGGTTCTGAGGCTACTGAACTGGGTAGTGGATGGGCCCAGTGAGTTGATTGAAGTTGAGCTGAGGGATGGGGATGAAACCCTAGCTCGTAGAGGATGGCCCTATAACTGACTGTGGGCCATCCATGCCTCTGGCGGGTGGTTGCCTAGCATGCACGGCAACGACGAGGCGCGTCTGCCGTGCACTGCTGTGAGGAATGTTTCGTGTTGGTACACGATGCTGCCAAAGGGAACAATCAACGGGTCTTGTTGGCAACGTATGCTTACATCACCTTTACGTGGGTGGCAACTGCTGCAACATCTTGGACACTGGTGGTGGTGGTGGTGGAGTTCGTGATGGCAGTCAAAGGCTGCCAAACGGACCAATCATTGCTCTAACAGAGTGTGAGCTGGAGCTCACACCGAGGGAAACATCGCGCCGCAGGGCGGGGGAAACTGGCAGCTGTACGAGGGAAACATCGCGCTGCATGGTAGCGTCGCCCACAGAACTTGACAATTAGCACAGATTTCGCGTGATTGACGGTACCGGTACAGGTACAATGTACCACCGCTAATCCTGGGTGTCGGTGCACAGGTACATTCAATCAGAGTCGGTACTCGTTTGTACTCTGAATTTCTCAGAGTACACTCCCGGGAAACTCTGAAATCTCAGAGTCAGCCTATAAAAAAAATCTGATTTTTTCAGAGTTGAGGCCATAAAAAAACTGAATTTCTCAGAGTACACCAAAAAAATATCAGAAATCTCAGACTTTTACAAGCAAATCAGACAATTTTCTGACTTCTGAGAGCCTGCTTATAATGATGCTAGCCTATTTATAAGAGACACCCGGACAATAGACAACCCCTGTTTGCTATTCAACACTGTCTACTATCTGGGTGATGACGGTATGGTAGACATTTGTAATGTTCAAGAATTTTAGTGCAAGAGCCACCCATCGTAACAAATGCAACAACATGCTGCAATGCAACAGACATTTATGAATAATAATTATAAAACTCACAAAAAAGCCCACACCATAACAAAGACTTCAAATCATCTTGTCTTTACAATACAACAAATCCACCATCAGCATCGCTTTGCCAGCCTCATTCAAGGAGCAGGTTTGCACGTAACGGCCTCTCTATTACCACCCATCTGCAGCCCAAAGAACAAGTCCTGACCAGGCTGCCGTAGATGCACCTCCACTGCCACCACATTTGGCGTTCCTGCAGGCTTCAGCCACTGCCCGTGAACATTATACGGGTTATAAACCCAGTTGCCCCAGGAGCTCGCGGGGGTGGTGGAGTCAGCACCCTTGGGTACGTTCATGCGTGCAGCCTCCACTCCATTGACGTATACCACCTGCATGGCGGAGGGGGGAGAACGGGGAGTGGGGGAGGGAAGAGGGGGAAGGGCTGGTTGGAGGAATTGGGGGTAGCATGGGAAGGAAAAGACAGGGAGAGAAACTGCAGGCGTGGGTGGAGATGGGGGTGTGAAGGAGGGCGTATGGGTGTGGTGACACCAGGAAGGATGGGATGTGTGTGTGGTTTCGGTTGGGATTGGGGGGGGAGGGAGGGGGGGGGGGGGGGGGGGGGGGGGGGGGTTGGAATAGGGGGGGGTGAGGGGGAAAGAGAGTGTAGAAGGGAATGTGTGGTGTTGGTGGGGTTGCTGATACATCACATGGAGAAGCGACTGTCTTGGGAAGGAGGGAGGGAGTGGGAGGGGAAATCACGGCGCCGTCGTTGGCGAGGATCCAGAGGGTGAGGTTAGAGAGAGAACTTTTGAGACGACTTAAAAAGAACAAAAGAGAGACGGGAGACTCACAGCGCCGTCGTTGGCAAGGATCCAGAGGGTGAGGTTGAAGAAGCACGGCCCGTCAGGCATGGTGAACGCCGTACGCATGTAGTAGGCTCGGCGGTTCGATCCCGAAGCTGCCTTGGTGAGGGACTTGCTGATGTTCCACCACCCACCCGACCCCAGCACTCCAGGGCCTGATCGGGGGGCACATTAAGGCATCGGGAATTGGGGACACTAAGGTCAGAGGGGGGAAGGGTTCGAGAGAGGCAAAGGGAGGGGGTGGGGGAGTGGGAAGGTGGTGGAGTAGGTGCTATGCGGAGATAGAGAGGAGCGTTGATTGAGACGTAGTAGTGCCAGCCAGCAGGGAAAGGGCGCAAGAGGCAGCGAGCGAAAGAGGCAAAGGACGCGGCATGCATGCATAAGTGTACGCGTGCATGGTCATGGCTCATGGATAATCTGATGGTGATACAGGGCAACGCTTCACTGATGGATCCTTGCATGCCACCAGTCACTCACCCCTGCCCCAGAGCAACACATGGTAAGTAAATCAAATCAAAAGTGCCAGCACACTGGCTAGATGAGCATGAGGCCCATGGGATGACCTCCTCGAGTGATATCAGGTTTCACAGCAGGGGGCCTTCACAGAAGGTGGGCAGGGTAGCAGCCGAGCAGGTACCCGAGGGCCATGCGGCATCGTTGAAGGAGGGCAGGTGCCATCCCGCAGGGGGCGCAGTCATAGACGCGTCGTTGAAGCGCCACACTGTCCCCTCGGGGAGCAGCGAGCGGTACGTTGAGCGGATGCACGGGGAGGCGAGAGCAGGCGCGGCGGAGGAGGAGTTGGAGGGGGGGGCAGGGCAGTCGTTGACCCCTAGGCGGGAGAGCGAGAGGTCGAAGGCGGCGTCTCCGGACCAGAGGTAGGCTTGATGTAGCTCTGCTGCTACCCAGTTGATGCCCGGCTGTGGAGTGAGTGGGGGCGTGGGAAGGGACGCAGTCAAGGGAGGGCGAGAGAGAGCTGAGAAGAGACCTAGAAGTGTAACCGTTGTTGCAATCATGACTTACCCGACCACGCCTAGCTTACTTCCCGCACAAACATTTGCAACATCATTCCAGGATCAAACAGCCAATCATAAAAACCTATCAGCCCACAAACCCACCAACCAGATCACAATCCACCAACCAACTAGTCCACCCGGCATCATTGAACCCACCTTGCTCCAAGCGGACATGTTCCGCCCATAGCACGCCTCCCCACACGAGTAGTACGAGTCCTTGTTGTTGCCGTTGCTCGGGTCTGTCTGTGTGACTCCCGACGCCGCTGTGGTGTGGGTGATGGGCCCTGACCCGGGCATGTTGGTGCGGAACATCTCGTTGCCGTTCAGATACACCACCGCCCCGTCATCCCTCCGCACACTCACGTCTGGCAGGATTTGGAGGAAGGGAGGGGCGGGGGAAGGGGGGAGGGGGAAAGAGGAAAGGGGGAGGGGGAAAAGGGGAGGGGGGAGGGTGGAGGGGGAATGGGGCAGTGGGGAGGGGCGATTGGGGATTGAGGGAGGGGATGGGGGACGGAGGAAGGGCGGGAGGGAGGTCGGGAGAGGGTGGAAGGTGGGATGGATGAGTAAAGAGAGGGTGACAAAAGCACGGATGGGCACGGATGGTGACTGGAGAGCGCATATGCCGAGTGCTCCAAAACCTCCTAGTTTGGCCACAACCACATGGCACACTAGATCTTGCTGTTATAGTCGTAATCATACAGATGTCCCTACCACAACTCCAGTACGTGCTCCTAAGGCCCTCAAAACTCCCTTCAGACTGACCTAATGATGGATGTTAGGCATGGTGCTGTTGCCACCAACACACTCTAAAACTCCGCTCCTTCATTCAACAAGCCGGAAACCCAAATCTGAGTAAGCAATGAAAACCCGACTCACAGTGGATCAATCAGTAAAGTCGGGAATGAAACAAGGGCCACAACAGCTGTACTTCACATGCGCACACGCAGCAAGCGCCTGTACCATGCCTCTCGTCTACCTGCGCTCCCTCACGTGTGCTTTGAGCCTAAAGTTGAGCCAAAAGCGGTCCGACAGGCTACTTGTGCCCCTACCACAACATACCAAGTGCACATATGTTCCCCACCAGAGCTGTGCCGGACTTGTGCCACGACCTTTGCGGCGACCCAAAAAGCATATGACGCGCCTCTTGCGTTTGCTTCTTGAAGGACGTGTGCTGCTCACGACCGTGTGCGGTGCTAAAAGAATGCGCTGCTCACCACAGCTGGAGGTACTGGCGGCCTGCTCGGCTTTTAAGGCCCCTCAAACGTCGCTGCTAAAAGAATGCGCTGCTCACCATAGCTGTAGGTGCTGGCGGCCTGCTCGGCCGTGAGGTTGAATGCCTTGAGGAAGTAAAAGGTCCAGAAGCTGCCCGCGCTGTTGGCCAGTGGCGTTGCAAACCGCGCTGCAGCCTCCGCGCTGTAGGCGTTGACGCCAAAGGGGGCCTTGCCTGCCTTCATCACTCCTGCTGGGATGCCCGAGCTGTTGGCCAGGCAGCACACACACGAGGATGGATTGTGGGAGGGGGCCATGCGGAGGCAATGAGAGGGAGGAGATGAGAGGGAGGGGACGAGAGGGGGGGGGGGGGTGGGGAGGGAGGGGACGAAAGGGAGGGGGTAGGGAGGGAGGGGACGAGAGGGGGTTGGGAGGGGAGGGGAAGAGAGGGAGGGGACGGGAGCGAGGGGTGGAGTGGGAGGGGATGAGATGAGAGGGACGCATGTATGTGAACACCTTCACACATCACCCAATTATCACACCCAACCCCCTTCCCCCCCTCTCTCCCTCTCTCCTCCTTCCCACTCACTTGATCTTCCACAACGGGTACAGAGAAGCCACGTTGGTGCCCCCATCGGTAAACAGCCAGTCGGCCTCGCTGCCCTTCACCAGCACAGACGACCCCACGTGTGACACCACGGCCCGGCACGACCCGTTGAAGCACGCCGCTCCCTCGGGGCATGGAGAGGACCCCACGCGGTTGTCCACCAGCCCGTCACAGTCATCGTCGAGACCGTTGCAGCTGAGGGTGGAAAGGAGGGAGGAGGGGGAGGCGTGGAGGAGAATGGGTGGTGGGTGAGTGCGTGGGTGGGTGGAGAAAGGGAGGGAAGGAGGGAATGGGAGAGAGGATGATGGATGCAGCACAGTGTCTGCACCATGCATGCACGCACGCACGCACACACACATGTATGGATGCGTGCTTACACGTACACACGTACACACGCACACACACGCACGCACACACACGCACGCACACGCACACTCGCACGCGCGCATGCAGCACGCACGAATGCACGCACGCACCCCCCCCCCCCCCTCCCCAACATACACACACACATGCACACATACGCGCACAGACACGCGCACCCACACACGCACCTCTCGACGGCGGGTTGTTTAGCAGAGCAAGGGGAGAGCGCGCCGTCAACACAGGTCATGGTGCCGACACCACAGGCGCTGGCGCATGGCACCGTGATGGGCTTCTTGGTCGGCCCTATGTCCACCTTGCCTGGCCGTTGGCCGTGGGGGTGGGGAGGGGGACGGGTAGGGAGAAAGGGGCACAGTGAGCGAGCAGAGAGCATGGCGGGAAGGGATAAGGGGGTGCAGAACGAGGTGAGGAGGTAGAGTGCAATGATGGGTAAGGGAATGGACAAGGGTGGGGTGTGGAAGAAACAGGAGCGCAGAAAGGAGGGGAAGAGGAGTGAGGGGTTTAAGAGAGAAAGGGTGGCGCATTGATGCTGCATGCATGGGTATAAATGGAGGTGGCGTGGCAAGAAGGCAAGCATGTGTTGCAGCTGATGTGTCCTTTATTCGGTGGGATGGGAGATATGTGTAAGGAGCATCACTATTCCAGTACATGAGTGGCATGCAACACCTAAACCCTAAACATCCCTTTTTTCTCTCACTCACCATCGCCGTCGTTGTCAAGCCCATCGCATGTTTCTGGCCGCATTGCCTTGCCTTTGCACTTAGGGTCACTGCGTGCATGTGCACACACATACGCACACACACGAACACACATATGCATACACACGCACGCACGCATGTGCAGATGCATACATACAGGCACACACATTTGTGGCCACACCAGACACACACACAAATAGGCACAGATTAGAGCCCCACCCCCCACACCAGCCACCGCGCAGCAAGAAGAGGCACATGCATGCGCGCCGCAGCAGGGAGCTTGGCACCGAGCAGATGACCGTGAAGGGACAACAGCATTCTTCAGGCAGGAGGAGAACGAGGGGGACAGAGTTGAAGATGAAAGGTGTGCGCGTGTGTGCGTGCGTGGGTGCATGTGTGTGTGAGTGTGTGTGTGGGTGCGTGCGTGTGTGGTATGGGGTGGCTGGGTGGTTGCAAGTGCGCGGGAGTGCGAGTGCGCGGAAGTGCGAGTGCATGGGAGTGAGAGTGAGAGGGCACGCACGGCAGCTGAGCGGAGATGCGCATGTCAAAGGCCACCTCCCAAGCGTAGTTTTGGAACGCGTGCACCTGCACCGCCACGAAGTTGACCCCCTCCACCAGGCTCACTGCCCCCGCTGCCGCTGCTGCCTCTGGGGCTGTGACGAGCGGCACTGTGAAGGTCGTGTAGGGGATCGGTACCTTGGTCAGAGGCTCTAGGTTTGATAGCGCCTGGTGGGAGGGAGGGAGGGAGGGAGGGAGGAAGGGAGGGAGGTGGATAACATAGTGCGGATAGAGTGAGGAAGGATGGGAGAAATGGGACTGCGAACCAAAAAGGGTGAATGGAGGTGCATGGGTAGAATGTGACAAGCGGTAGTGATGCACAGCTCATAACCACCATCGCAGATCAGCAAGCCAGTCAACCCCCACCACCTCTCTAACCATTCGCATCGCATGCACGCACGTAGGTGCAACCCCCGTAGGTCCGTCCCACCATAATCATCTCCTTGCACAAGATTCGGCTCCCTTACACACGCACACAACACTTTCTAGTCCCGCACCCCGCACCAAGTCCCGTTTCGCACCGCACACCAACACGCGTGCGTGTTAGTGTGAGAGAGCAAAGGGAACACGCACGAGGGAGGTGTTGGTGAGCGCCCCATTAGGCAGGTTGGTGCGGAAAGCCTCAACACCGTTGATGTATACAACGGCGCCGTCGCTGACAAGCAGGTCGATGCGGAGAGCGGTGTAGCACTTGGTGTTGGTGGCCGTGAAGTTGGTGCGGAAATAGTAGACCACGCGGGAGGGGGACACAGGGGCGAGCACTGTTGCTATGGCTGGATTGTCCCCTGGGCGATGGGCGAGGGCGGGAAGGGGCGAGCGTGGGAGGGAGAGTGACAGAGTGGGAGGGAGGGTGACGGAGAGGAACAGAGTGGGAAGGAGTGGGAGGGAGTGGGAGGGAGTGGGAGGGAGTGGGATGGAGGGAGTGGGAGGGAGGGAGTGGGAGGGAGTGGGAGGGAGGGAGTGGGAGGGAGTGGGAGAGAGTGGGAGGGAGGGAGTGGGAGGGAGTGGGTGTGGGAGGGAGTAGGAGGGAGTGGGAGGGAGTGGGAGGGAGGGAGTGGGAGGGAGTGGGAGGGAGTGAAAGGGAGTGGGAGGGACGGCTGTTGTTTTAAACAAGCTGATGTGATGAGGGGAGGTGGAGATTTGACGAACAGCACGCGGCAATGGCACAACGAAGCCACCAATCGGGAGACTTTGTGAAGTGCAAGGGAGTTCTGCGTCAACTAGCACAAAAGACTAGGCAAGAGCACCGCAGCACCAGCAATGCATATCTGGGTCATCACACTTATTATTTGAGCCTGCATGTGGAAAGTGCACACCACTTATACCATACAGAACGCCTCAGTAGAGGTGCTGGGCACACGTACAGTTGGCATACCAGCCCAGAGGGCCCTTGCCGCTGCGCCACGTGCCCGGGGGTTCAATGGAGCGGGGCACTGAGGGGGCCTTCTTGGGGCCGGTGACAGGCGGGGTGAGCAGCGGCGTGGGCGAGAAGAAGGTGCGTGCGCCGGAGTAGGGCGGGAAGAAGTCCAGCCCCGAGTCGTCGTACAGCCACTCGCTGCCCGCACACAGGATGCTGCGCTGCTGGGTTGACCTGGGGGGGGTGGATGGTGTGTGTGAGTGTGTGACATGGCAAATAGTGCAGGAACTTGGACAGGAATCTCCGATGCAGGGCCATCACATGAAGGGGCATGTGCATTGTGCTGTGCTGTGCACTGTCGGGTGGACTGAAGAAGCGTCTCACATGAACGACTTTTGAGGCGCCTCAAAAGCTCCGCTGTGCACTGTCGGGTGGACTGAAGAAACATCTCACATGAACGTAGACGTGCAGGAGGAAGCAGCAGCCGTGTCACCGATGGGGATCAGGTAGGCGATATCGGAAAAGTTTCCACCCATGGTGAGGGTGAGCGCAGGCACTGGTGCAGTGGTTGCACAGGCAAAGCTATAGAGCGCTCTGTTGCCCGGTATAGGGTTGCCTGGTATGGGCCTGTTGGGGGCATGGAGATGACATGGACGGACATGTATTCATTAGTGCACACGCACACATGCACTTACAGACATGCACACACATGCTCAAGCATGCACACACGTGCTCAAGCATGCACACGCATCCACCAAATCAATTACACATAGACACCCTTGAGCCTCCACCAACCCTACCTCCTGCCCCACAGCACTCCCCTGTGCACTAAGAGGGCGCCCACAGAGCTGGACTCCTTGCCCACCAGCAGCTGCCAGCTGCCCCACCACCCCCATGCCCCTGGACCAACACACCAGACCCCCACCACAGAATACCTCCCCATCATAATTAATAATCCTCTCTCCCCCGCACAAGCACTCACAGGGCACCCACGGAGCTGGACTCCTTGCCCACCAGCAGCTGCCGCGCCACCCCTGTCCCCCCGTGGCCCAGCGGCAGCACGCGCAGGGTGAGCCCCTGCCCACAGCTGCCGCCGTCCTGGAACGCTGCGGTGATGTAGGACGGCACCCAGGTGGAGCCCGTGGGGGAGCGGATTGTGATCTCGTACGTCATGCCTGGGGAGTGGGGAAAGGGGGTTTAAGGGTGGGGGAGAGAGGGGGGGGAGGAGTAAGGGTGGGGGGTTGGGCTTTTGGGCGCCTCAGAAGCCATGTCCTGGAACGCTGCGGTGGTGTAGGAGGGCACCCAGGTGGAGCCCGTGGGGGAGCGGATCGTGATCTCGTACGTCATTCCTGGGAAGGGGAAGCGGGGTTTGGCGTGAAGGGGAGGGGGGCGGGGATGAGCTTTCAAGCACCTCAGAAGCCGTGTCCTGGGATGGTGCGGTAATGTAGGAGGACACCCAGGTGGAGCCCGTGGGGGAGCAGATGGTGATCTGATCTTGTACGTCATGCCTGGGAGGAGGGGGGGAAGTGGGGGATGGATTGATTTGAGTTCTTGGGCGTCTCATAAGCCGTGCCGTGCCATGGAGCGGTGCAGTAATGCAAGATGGCAGGCACCCAAGAGGAGCCGTGTGGGGCGCGCATCGTGATCTTGTCTAGTACATCATGCCTGGGAGGGGAGAGGGGGGGAGAGAGGGGAGGTTGGGGTGAAAGAGGGATTTGCTTTCGGGCGCGTCAGAAGCTGTGCCTGGGGTTGGGGAGGTGGTTCAGGGGTGGGTGGGATTCTTAGATGCAGCAAAAGCCGTGTCCTGAAACGCCACCGTGGTGTGTCAGGCAGAGCCGGTGGGGGACGGGATGGCGATTCGTGGATACCAGCATTTTTTTAAGAGAGTGCTGAGGTGAGGTGGGCATAGGCATGGGCAATACCATGGGCAAGGGCATGTGTGGGGGAAGGGAGAGAAGGGAGAGGAACAGTGGAGAGGGGAGGGGGCATGGCATGGGCATAGGCATGATGAGGCATGGGCATCGGCATGGGCATCGGCATGGGCATGTGCACCTGCGAGGAGGTTGGGGTAGAAGTATCGGAGCGTGGTGTCGTGCACGTTCATGTAGCGCACGTTGAGATTGCCGTCCAGGACAAAGGACGCCTTGTCCTCCACTCTCACTATCTCCAGGTAGCTGGCGAGGACGGGCACGAGGGATGGAGAGGGAGGGGGGAAGGGGAGAGGAAGAAGGGGATAGAGAGGAAGAGGGAGAAAGGGGATGCAGATGTAGAGAAGGCAGTGTTCTTACCACAAGAGAAACGTGCACGTAACGTATAGATGATGTTTGTATGCACGATATCAATGCCAGCGGCAGAGACCCTTCACATCGTTTCACACCCATAAACGGAAATGCAGACACCCAGGCAAACACATTTCCACTCACTCAGGGCGTATCTCAGTTTGGGTCATGAGCATTGTTTGGGCCATCCAAGATTCTTGGACGACCAATAGGGCGCATTTTAGCTACACTACTGGAACACCATTGGTCCTCCTATGACCCAAAGGTTCCCAAGACCCGAAGCGGGCTCCTGTGACCCGAATTGAGATACGCCCTCACACGCAAACACACACACACACACACACACACACACACACACACACAAACACACCCCTTCCAAGCCCCCCCTTCCCCCCCCCACACGCGCACCTGAAAGAGCCCCTCTTCCTGGCGTCAAGCGAGTCGTTGATGGGTGAGAACCCCGGCTCAAAGTACGAGATGGCCACACTGCGGTAGCATGCCTTGGGGCACGAATACCCATTCCACGTCTTCATTGGCGCACACACAGGCGCTCCCTTGAGCTTGGCGGGCGGTAAGAGGTAAGACACGTTGGCAATGGCGTAGCCGCCCTCTTTGACGGAGCCGGGGGTTGTGCCGGTGAGCGAGCCGTCTGTGTCCCGCATCATGAGGAAGGGGGAGACTACTCCCGTTGCTATGGTGGACCCGCCCTGGGGGGAGGAGGAGGGGAGAGAATGTGATCTTTTAGTTGAGTTGACTCAACAAGCTGTGTGTTGGTGAGCGAGCCGTCTAGGTCTCACATCATGAGGAAGGGGGACACTCGTCCCGTTGCTATGGTGGACCTGCCCTGGGGGGAAGAAGGGGGAGAGACGAGGAGAGGGGGGGGAGATGAGAAAAGGTGGCGATACAGAGTGTGGTGGAGATGGCGATACAGAGTTGGAATAGAGGCCGCCGCTCTGGGAAAGGGTGGTGGTAAGGAAGAAGGAATGGGAGGGGAGGACTGTGTCAGAATCCCAACCACTAGACCATTGGGATAAAAGGGTTTGTTTCAGTAGCGGGTCAGTGCGCCCATAACCCTCCAAGCAAACGCGCTTGTAACCCCCTCTAGGATCGATCGAAGATCTCACAGTGTAGCTCTACTGACACCCCCCCACACTGGGAGGCCCAGGACTGAGCACAGTGGCAACGGCCAACATGTGCATACACCGGGATTCGAACCCGAGACCGCTCTGATACCATGTCAGAATCCCAACCACTAGACCATTGAGATAAAAGGGCTTGTTTCAGTAGCGGGTCAGTGCGCCCATAACCCTCAAGGCAAACGCGCATGTAACCCCCCCTAGGATCGATCGGGGATCTCACAGTGTAGCTCTACTGACAGAGTGGAGAAAGGAGCAGACGCAGTGGAATGGAAGTGAATGCGAGGTAAGCAATGCGCTGTAGAGTCGAAATGGGGGCGGATGCTGTGGGAGGAAGGTGATTTTTGAAGCGCCTCAAAGGAAGGTGATGCGGGGGAACGACGATGCAGAGAGGTCTGAGAGGAGATGATACAGTGGGAAGATGATGTGGAAGATGCTGTTGGGGTGAGATACTGTGGGCGAATGAGCTAGCCATGGGGAAATCAACTGAAGGGTGTATGTAGCAAGAGAACCCAAGACGTGAGAGAGGAACGGCTGGTGATGTGCCTCACATAGCTGCTCTCACCGTGCCTCGTGGTTGAGATACACCGTACAAGTGGGGCGTGGTAGGCACCCCTAGAGACATGGTGCATACTGCATGGTGCATGGTGTGTGGTGCATGGTGCATGCATGGTGCATGGTGTGTGGTGCATAATGCATGCTGCATACTTCATGGTCCATGTACACAGTGTAAATCGTACATGATGCATGAAGCAAGGTATATGATATGATATGATATGATATGCCCATGCGTTGTGGTGCAGTGGCAAGGCAGCACCATGGGACGGACGGGCGGATGGGTGAGAGAAAAGGGCCATGCGAAAGCAGAGGAGTGGGGTACTGACCAGGAAAGGGAAGGTGTCTCCAGGTATCCACATGCGGTTGGCCGCTTTGAAGCTCACGTTCTGATGGTTGGTGGTCAGCACAGCACAGCACAACACAACACAAGCAACACAACACAACACAAGGAACATGGGTGCGATGTGGGAAAGAAGACATGTGTGATGAGCGGGATAGCAGACTGAAAGGAGTGGGGAGGCGGGAGAAGGAAAAGGAGAGGAGTGAGGAGATAGGATAAAAGGAGGTGGGATGCGTTAAGATTCCCTTAAAGCGTTAAAATTCCCTTAATGCGTTAAGATTCCCTGAATGCGTTAAGATTCCCTTAATGCGTTAAGATTCCCTTAATGCGTTAAGATTCCCTTAATGCGTTAAGATTCCCTTAATGCGTTAAGATTCCCTTAATGCGTTAAGATTCCCTTAATGCGTTAAGATTTCCTTCCTTCCCTTAATAAGGGATGTGTTAAGATTCCCCTGGTTCTCTCTTTGCTCACCACCATTGCACCCTCGCGTTCTGTGTTTCTCGCCGACACCCTACCCCGACATCGTGACTTGCATGGAGTTGAAGGAGGAGGATGGACAAGAACCCCCCTAGCAACTTCCACATGTAAAAAGTGAATCATTTAGACGTCTAAAAAAATCTCTTTTTACATCGTGGCTTGCATGGAGTTGAAGGAGGAGGATGGACAAGAACCCCCCTAGCGACTTCCACATGTAAAAAGTGAATCATTTAGACGTCTAAAAAAAATCTCTTTTTACATCGTGGCTTGCATGGAGTTGAAGGAGGATGGACAAGAACCCCCCTAGCAACTTCCACATGTAAAAAGTGAATCATTTAGACGTCTAAAAAAAAACTCTTTTTACATCGTGGCTTGCATGGAGTTGAAGGAGGAGGATGGACAAGAAACCCCCTAGCGACTTCCTCCCACTCCCATCAGGACTCGCACCCTTCCATGCCTCATTCGGACACCCTGACTGGCAGCCTGGCAGCCTGGCTGGGCCTTGGAGTCAACCTCTGTAAGAGCGTGATAGAGCAGGTGCGCACACCTGTCTGATCATGCCCCTCAGCACGCTCACCCTGCCAGCACCCTCACCCTGCCAGCACCCTCACCCTGCGTGTCCCCGCCCCTCAGCAAGCTCACCCTGACAGCCTGGCCGGCGTTCCAGTAGTCCTTGTAGGTGGGCGAGAGGCCCAGTGCGAACCCAGCAGCGGGGCGGCACGTGGCATCGTAGTTGAAGAAGCTGGGGGGGTGAGGGGGGGAGGGCATGGTGAGAGGGCATGGGGAGAGGGCATGGGGAGAGGGAATGGGGAGAGGGAATGGGGAGAGGGAATGGGGAGAGGAAATGGGGAGAGGGAATGGGGAGAGGAAATGGGGAGAGGGAATGGGGAGAGGGAATGGGCAGAGGGAATGGTGCACAGTGTCACATGTGGTACAAGGGAGTACAAGGCAGTACCAGCTTCATCGACAACCGACCAACCGACCGGTTCTCAACAAACACACAAGAGCAACCAACCCAGGCAGTTAAGCAAGCACGCAAGCAGAAGCAGCGGCGGGGGCGGCGGCGGCAGCAGCAGCAGCTCACGTGGTGTTGGCGACGAGAGCAGCAGTGTCCCCGCCCTCTGTGAAGTTGCGCTGATCGTACACGATCCCAAACAGTGGGGACGGAAAGCGGTTGCCGCCTGTCGACCTGCCCTGCTGGTCGCTCGTCAGCGGTAGCCTGGGGGAGGGAGGGGGCCGGGTGGTGGGGGAGGAGGGGGGAGAAGCAGCAGGAAAGAGATGAATGGCGAAACTACCCACAGTTTTTTTTACCGATCTGCATGCTCCCCCGACAGAAGCAAATCACTTGTAGCAGCAGGCGATGGGCGTGCATGCAGTCCCGGCCCTCCGGCTGCATGCGCAGTCCTTGGTTGCTAGAGAGACTGACATTCGGCCGTCTGTCTGACAACCCTCCTCTCTGATCAGGAAATCCGCAGGCACTCACTTGCAGCCGGTGATCAGGAACACGTTCGAGGCGAACCGAACAGGTGTTCGCCACCTTGCTCAAGCCTACACTACACAGTCCCAGGGCTGCACTACACACTCCCAGGGCTGCACTACACAGTCCCAGGGCTACACTACACAGTCCCAAGGCTGCACTACACAGTCCCAAGGCTGCACTACACAGTCCCAGGGCTGCAATACACAGTCCCAAGGCTGCACTACACAGTCCCAGGGCTGCACTACACAGTCCCAAGGCTGCACTACACAGTCCCAGGGCTGCAATACACAGTCCCAAGGCTGCAATACACAGTCCCAAGGCTGCACTACACAGTCCCAGGGCTGCAATACACAGTCCCAAGGCTGCACTACACAGTCCCAAGGCTGCACTACACAGTCCCAAGGCTGCACTACACAGTCCCAAGGCTGCACTACACAGTCCCAGGGCTGCAATACACAGTCCCAAGGCTGCACTACACACTCCCAGGGCTGCACTACACAGTCCCAGGGCTGCACTACACAGTCCCAGGGCTGCACTACACAGTCCCAAGGCTGCACTACACAGTCCCAGGGCTGCACTACACAGTCCCAGGGCTGCACTACACAGTCCCAAGGCTGCACTACACAGTCCCAGGGCTGCACTACACAGTCCCAAGGCTGCACTACACAGTCCCAAGGCTGCACTACACAGTCCCAAGGCTGCACTACACAGTCCCAAGGCTGCACTACACAGTCCCAGGGCTGCAATACACAGTCCCAAGGCTGCAATACACAGTCCCAAGGCTGCACTACACAGTCCCAGGGCTGCAATACACAGTCCCAAGGCTGCAATACACAGTCCCAAGGCTGCAATACACAGTCCCAAGGCTGCACTACACAGTCCCAAGGCTGCACTACACAGTCCCAAGGCTGCACTACACAGTCCCAGGGCTGCAATACACAGTCCCAAGGCTGCACTACACACTCCCAGGGCTGCACTACACAGTCCCAGGGCTGCACTACACAGTCCCAGGGCTGCACTACACAGTCCCAAGGCTGCACTACACAGTCCCAGGGCTGCACTACACAGTCCCAAGGCTGCACTACACAGTCCCAAGGCTGCACTACACAGTCCCAAGGCTGCACTACACAGTCCCAGGGCTGCAATACACAGTCCCAAGGCTGCAATACACAGTCCCAAGGCTGCACTACACAGTCCCAGGGCTGCAATACACAGTCCCAAGGCTGCAATACACAGTCCCAAGGCTGCAATACACAGTCCCAAGGCTGCACTACACAGTCCCAGGGCTGCAATACACAGTCCCAAGGCTGCAATACACAGTCCCAGGGCTGCACTACACAGTCCCAAGGCTGCACTACACAGTCCCAGGGCTGCACTACACAGTCCCAGGGCTGCAATACACAGTCCCAAGGCTGCACTACACAGTCCCAAGGCTGCACTACACAGTCCCAGGGCTGCACTACACAGTCCCAAGGCTGCACTACACAGTCCCAGGGCTGCACTACACAGTCCCAGGGCTGCAATACACAGTCCCAAGGCTGCACTACACACTCCCAGGGCTGCACTACACAGTCCCAAGGCTGCACTACACAGTCCCAAGGCTGCACTACACAGTCCCAAGGCTGCACTACACAGTCCCAGGGCTGCAATACACAGTCCCAAGGCTGCAATACACAGTCCCAAGGCTGCACTACACAGTCCCAGGGCTGCAATACACAGTCCCAAGGCTGCAATACACAGTCCCAAGGCTGCAATACACAGTCCCAAGGCTGCACTACACAGTCCCAGGGCTGCAATACACAGTCCCAAGGCTGCACTACACAGTCCCAAGGCTGCACTACACAGTCCCAAGGCTGCACTACACAGTCCCAAGGCTGCACTACACAGTCTCAGGGCTGCAATACACAGTCCCAAGGCTGCAATACACAGTCCCAAGGCTGCACTACACAGTCCCAGGGCTGCAATACACAGTCCCAAGGCTGCAATACACAGTCCCAAGGCTGCACTACACAGTCCCAAGGCTGCACTACACACTCCCAGGGCTGCACTACACAGTCCCAAGGCTGCACTACACAGTCCCAGGGCTGCAATACACAGTCCCAAGGCTGCACTACACAGTCCCAGGGCTGCACTACACAGTCCCAAGGCTGCACTACACAGTCCCAAGGCTGCACTACACAGTCCCAAGGCTGCACTACACAGTCCCAAGGCTGCACTACACAGTCCCAGGGCTGCAATACACAGTCCCAAGGCTGCAATACACAGTCCCAAGGCTGCACTACACAGTCCCAGGGCTGCACTACACAGTCCCAAGGCTGCACTACACAGTCCCAAGGCTGCACTACACAGTCCCAAGGCTGCACTACACAGTCCCAAGGCTGCACTACACAGTCCCAGGGCTGCAATACACAGTCCAAAGGCTGCAATACACAGTCCCAAGGCTGCAATACACAGTCCCAAGGCTGCACTACACAGTCCCAGGGCTGCACTACACAGTCCCAAGGCTGCACTACACAGTCCCAAGGCTGCACTACACAGTCCCAAGGCTGCACTACACAGTCCCAAGGCTGCACTACACAGTCCCAAGGCTGCACTACACAGTCCCAGGGCTGCAATACACAGTCCCAAGGCTGCAATACACAGTCCCAAGGCTGCACTACACAGTCCCAGGGCTGCAATACACAGTCCCAAGGCTGCAATACACAGTCCCAAGGCTGCAATACACAGTCCCAAGGCTGCACTACATAGTCCCAAGGCTGCACTACACAGTCCCAGGGCTGCAATACACAGTCCCAAGGCTGCACTACACAGTCCCAAGGCTGCACTACACAGTCCCAAGGCTGCACTACACAGTCCCAAGGCTGCACTACACAGTCCCAGGGCTGCAATACACAGTCCCAAGGCTGCACTACACACTCCCAGGGCTGCACTACACAGTCCCAAGGCTGCACTACACAGTCCCAAGGCTGCACTACACAGTCCCGAGTGGCTACAGACTGGGTGGCACAGGGTCATTTCATTTCATCTGCTAAACAGCACCCTCGGTCCGCCCCTCCAGTCTGAGTCTATGAGGGAACCCTCAGCCGCCCTCAGGCAGGCACACGCACTCACTTGCAGCCGGTGATGGGAGCGCAGTCCCACGGCTGAGCGCTGGTGCACCCTTGCGGCGTGCCGTAGTTGTTGGACAGCCCCACGAAGCGGCACCTGTCCACGATGGCGTGCTGCGTCTCTGCGAGGTACAGCGACCACTGGTTGTCCGCGAACACAGAGTCCTGCATTGTGAACGCGTCAAACGTGTCCATGAGCGTGCTGTGGGGAGGGGGGAGGAGGGTAGAGGAAGGCGTGAAGGGAGTGGGGAGGAGAGAGGAGGAAAAGGGGGAAGGAGTTTTGAGGCAGCTCAAAAGGCGGTATTTGGCGTGTATGAGAGAGAGTAATGGACACAGAGACCTGCATTGTGAACGCATCAAACGTGTCCATGAGCGTGCTAGGTGGAGGAGGGAGGAAGGGGGAGGGGGATGGGGGGGAAGGGACGGGGAGGGGAGGGGCGAGGCCAGGGAGAGAGACGGGAAGGGGGCAGGGGTTATGAGGTGGCTCGGAACAGAAGGCGACTTGTGACGTGCTTGAGAAAAAACAAGAGCGAGAGGGAGGCGGGTGAGGGGGGGGGAGGGGGGAGGGGGGAGGAGGGAGGGAAGGGGAGGAGAAAGGGCGGGGGATGCGACAGGGAGGGAGGGGGTGTGGATGAGGAAAGGCGCTGGGGGTGCACAGGAAAGCTTCTGCAGCAGGCAGGGGGTAAGGGTGACGGAGGGAGGGGAGAGAAAGGGGAAGGAGAAGGAGGTGGAGGAGAGGGGAGGGGGGAGGGGGAGAGTGTGGGGAGGGGGAGAGTTTGGGGAGGGGGAGAGGAGATCAGAGAGGCGAGGCAAGGTGAGTTAGTGAAGGGCTTACGCGCTGCCTTGGTGCTTGTAGAAGGTGAGGCGGGAGAAGAGCACTCGCTGAATGGGCTTGAGCCACTGCACGCTGTACTGCTCTTGGTGGTCGTGGTGAGATGAGCACAGCACGGGTTGGTAGTGGACATGGGCGTGATCATGGAATGGGAGGGGTTGTACATGGGAGAAAGATGTTGGGGGAGAGGGAAGGACAGCGCGTTACAGATGAAAGTGGAATTTGGTGCTGGCGAAAATAGGCGAAAGGAATCGCATAAGCACTCCCTACACACTCCCCTCCCCACTCTCCACCATCTCCGCTCCGCGCTCTCCTTCCCCCACATGCCCCACCACTCGGGGGGTTCTGCTGGGAGAGGTTCCGAAAAGCGCATGGGATAAGCCTGTAGGCCCCAGAGAGGCGCTTTGAGCTGACATATACTAGGCCTTTATATGACATATTTACCTATATCACACAGCCCACCCCACCCCAGCCCAGCCCAGCTACCAACCCCGAAGTCACTCACGGGGTTCTGCTGGGAGAAATTCCGGAAGGCCCCTTGGCGCGGATAGGCGCCCATGGGGTAGGCCTGGAGGCCCCAGAGGTTGTTAGAGTGGAAGGTGCAGCCGGAGAAGGCGCCCCAGGGCGTGAAGAAAGGCAGTAGATTGTAGTACCCGGGTATGGTGCCTGCCAGGCCTGACACTCCCCACCGCAGGTAGTACCATACACTGTGGGGTGGAAACGACGAGGGAGAGGGGGAAGGGGAGGAGGGGAGAGAGCGGGGAAAGGGTGATGGAAGAGAGATTTCTCTGGAACTCTGGCTGTGCTCCCTCGCTGCACAATCTTGCTCGCGCTGCGTTTCCAGGCTTCAGATGCTCCCTCCCGCCACCATCACATCCCCATTTGAGGCGCCTCACAACTGATCCGCCCTGCCATACTAGCCTAGCCTCTTGCACTCCCCAGCACGCCCCGCTTGTCCTCTCCCTTTCTCTCCCCCTCTTCCAAAAAAATCCTAACACGGCGCCCATGGAACTTTGGCATGCCCTTATCCCACCACGTCCCAGCCCAGCGCCCATGCAGCGGAGCAACACAGGGAGCTCACCCGGCGGCGTAGGAGCCAGCAGCAGTGTTGTTGATAAAGTCGTTGTCAGGGTTGGCGAGCAGGAACGTGGCGGGGTTGGGACGTGGAGGGACCAGACCAGGGACCCATGGGACGTCTCTGGATTTTCCACGTCCCACCACGCTCCACCGCTTCCCACCACACCTGTGCAGCGGGCAACGCGCAGCACTCACCCGGCGGCGTAGGAGCCAGCAGCAGTGTTGTTGATGAAGTCGTTGTCGGGGTTGGCGAGCAGGAACGTGGCGGGGTTGCTCGTGTCCCTCATGCCCGACACGTCCCTGCCCGCTGGTGTGAGTGTGCGGGGAGGGACGGGAGATGAAGGAGGGGAGGGGTGGGGATGGATGACTGGTGTGAGAGGGGGTTGGATTGGACAGCAGGAACGTGGCGGGGTTGCTCGTGTCCCTCATGCTTGACGTCCCTGCCGGCTGGTAGGAGGGGTAGATGAGGGATGGGTGAGAATGGTTGAGTGGTGTGAGTGGGGGGTGATGCAAGGGAGGGAGCACGGTTGCTCGTTTCCCTCATGCCCGATACGTCCCTGCCGGCTGGTGGGAGGGGAAATGAAGGAGGGTGGGGGGTGAAGGAGGGTTAATGGAGTTTGAATGATGAGAGTGGTGGGGTGATGCAGGGAGGGAGGGATCCCTCATGCCCGATATGTCCCTGCCGGCTGGTGGGAGGTGATCAAGGCGGGGGATAAAATGAAGGAGGGGGTGGGGGGATGAAGAAGGGGTTGAGAAAGGGGATGATGCAGGGGAAGGCGGTTGACTTGGGGGGGGGTGGAAGAGGGTTTCCAAGCAGCAGGGACGGAGAGAGTGGGAGATGATGGGGAACATATACTCTGCTCTCCCACCCCATCTCTGCAACTCATCCCCTAATGCGTTCACTAACCATCCATGGCACCCCCATGCACCCCCCCCATGTACCCCCACATGTACCCCCCACATGCACCCCCCACATGCACCCCCACATGCACCCGCGCATGCAGCGCACCGCGGCGGGTGAGGAAGCCGAGGTTGTTGGCGAGGGTGTTGCGCGTCTCGGAGCCCGAGGAGAGCATGTAGCAGTGCCCTCTCGTGTCGTACGCCACGTTGCTCTCTACTGTCATGCCACTCGCCGCTGTCAGCACCAGGCAGCGCTGCGCGTCGGGGTGGGGATGGGGGGGGGTGGGGGGGGTTGGGGGGGACAAGGAAGTGCAGATGGGAAGGAGGGAGGGGGAAATGGGTTAAGGTGGTGAGGAGGGGAGGGAGGGATGTGCGCGAGAGAGGGATGTGGAGTGGAAGGAGGGAGAGGAAGCGGATGAGGGAGAAGGTGGGTTAAGGAGATGAGATGACGAATCGTTGCAGGTTGGAAAACCAAGCAGGAGGATTGCGGAGGATAATGAATTGTTGAACTGAACATGATCCGTGTGTGAGAAGCAGAGAGCAGTGGGCGGGCAAATGGAAGAGGAGAGACGAAGGCATTGGGGAAAAAGGAGCGCGATGGGACTTTTGAGTCGACTCGAAAGGCAAATGGAAGAGGAGAGACGAAGACATTGGGGAAAAAGGAGCGCGATGGGACTTTTGAGTCGACTCGAAAGTCAAATGGAACAGGAGAGACGAAGACATTGGGGAAAAAGGAGCGCGATGGGACTTTTGAGTCGACTCGAAAGTCAAATGGAACAGGAGAGACGAAGACATTGGGGAAAAAGGAGCGCGATGGGACTTTTGAGTCGACTCGAAAGTCAAATGGAAGAGGAGAGACGAAGACATTGGGGAAAAAGGAGCGCGATGGGACTTTTGAGTCGACTCGAAAGTCGAATGGAACAGGAGAGACGAAGACATTGGGGAAAAAGGAGCGCGATGGGACTTTTGAGTCGACTCGAAAGTCAAATGGAAGAGGAGAGACGAAGACATTGGGGAAAAAGGAGCGCGATGGGACTTTTGAGTCGACTCGAAAGTCAAATGGAAGAGGAGAGACGAAGACATTGGGGGAAAAGGAGCGCGATGGGACTTTTGAGTCGACTCGAAAGTCAAATGGAACAGGAGAGACGAAGACATTGGGGAAAAAGGAGCGCGATGGGACTTTTGAGTCGACTCGAAAGCCAAATGGAACAGGAGAGATGAAGACATTGGGGAAAAGGAGCGCGATGGGACTTTTGAGTCGACTCGAAAGTCAAATGGAAGAGGAGAGACGAAGACATTGGGGAAAAAGGAGCGCGATGGGACTTTTGAGTCGACTCGAAAGTCAAATGGAAGAGGAGAGACGAAGACATTGGGGAAAAAGGAGCGCGATGGGACTTTTGAGTCGACTCGAAAGTCAAATGGAACAGGAGAGACGAAGACATTGGGGAAAAAGGAGCGCGATGGGACTTTTGAGTCGACTCGAAAGTCAAATGGAACAGGAGAGACGAAGACATTGGGGAAAAAGGAGCGCGATGGGACTTTTGAGTCGACTCGAAAGGCAAATGGAAGAGGAGAGACGAAGACATTGGGGAAAAAGGAGCGCGATGGGACTTTTGAGTCGTCTCGAAAGTCAAATGGAAGAGGAGAGACGAAGACATTGGGGAAAAAGGAGCGCGATGGGACTTTTGAGTCGACTCGAAAGTCAAATGGAACAGGAGAGACGAAGACATTGGGGAAAAAGGAGCGCGATGGTACTTTTGAGTCGACTCGAAAGTCAAATGGAAGACGAGAGACGAAGACATTGGGGAAAAAGGAGCGCGATGGGACTTTTGAGTCGACTCGAAAGTCAAATGGAAGAGGAGAGACGAAGACATTGGGGAAAAAGGAGCGCGATGGGACTTTTGAGTCGACTCGAAAGTCAAATGGAAGAGGAGAGACGAAGACATTGGGGAAAAAGGAGCGCGATGGGACTTTTGAGTCGACTCGAAAGTCAAATGGAACAGGAGAGACGAAGACATTGGGGAAAAAGGAGCGCGATGGGTAGGGAGAGGGGGTGTGATCATCCACTGTGATTGAATTGAAGGAGTCGGGGGACGAAGGGTAGAGGTGGGTGGGGGGATGGGATGACGGGAAGGACGAACAATGGTAAGGCGAGTGGCAGAGAGAGAAGAGAGGAGAGGAGAGGAGAGGAGAGGAGAGGAGAGGAAAGGAAAGGAAAGGAGAGGAGAGTACATCCACACGCGGCATAATGACATGAGAATCACACACGTGACCCAACCCAACTGCAATCCAACCAGCTCCCTCCCCCGGCCCCCCCATCACATCATCACATCCCTTCCATCACATCCCTTCCATCACATCCCTTCCATCACATCCCATCACATTACTTCACATCACCACCACGCCACTCACATTATTCGTGTGGTGAAACGAGTTCTTCCGGCAAACACTCGCTTCCCCACCCGCCGCCTGTCCCTGATTCCCATGGAACATATAATGCAGAGGAAACCGCCCCTCCAGACCCTCCTGTCCCAACCCACTGAACTCCACTCCTTCCACCGCTTGCGGCCTCTGGGTGAAATACACCGACACGTGGCCCCCCTCGCGATCATACGGGCTGGTTTCTGGTACAGATGTGATTGTAACGGTGCGTGACAGTAGCGCCACCTCAGCGCGTTCGTCTATAAAGCCCCCGAACCCGTCGGGCACGCCGAGGGGGTCGCCGAAGTGGGAGTAGGTGAGCGCGCGGGCGAGAGTGAGCAGCGAGGTGCCGTTGGGGAAGGTGGTTACTGGTGGGGGAGGAAGGGGGTGGAGGTTCGGGAGGGGAAGGGGTAGGGTTATGGTAGTGGTGAGATGGTGAGATGGTGTGGAAGGCTGGAAGGTTTAGATCGTTGAGGGGAAGGGCAGAGACAAGAGAGGAGGGCGAGTGCGAAGCTAAGAGAGGCAGTGTAAAAGAGGGAAGGCTGCATCACACACACACACACACTCACACACACACACACTCATACACACTCACACACACACACACTCACACACACACACTCACACACACACACACACACACTCACACACACACACACACACTCACACACTCACACACACACACACACTCACACACACACACACACACATCACACACACACACACATCACACACACACACACACACACATCACACACACACTCACAGACACACACACACACACACACACACATCACACACACACACAATACACACACGCGCCAACCATACCCCTCTCGCCTCTTCCCCCTTTCTCCACCCCCTTTCCCGCAACCCTCTCCTCACCTGCAGTGATGCTCACATCCTCTGCCTGATCCGTGCTGTAGTCCGTCGATGATACTGCTATCAGCGCCCCCACCGGCCACGCCGACACGTCAGCGTCCACCAGCAGTGACGTGGCGCCAGCTGGCGCCGTTTTCGCCAGCTGGCACCAGGAGGGGGTGGAGGGCCCCCCAGGCATGCCGTGCAGATCTAATCGGCCTCCTAGCTGGAAAGGGGAGATGGGGAAAAGAAGAGGGAAAGGGGAGGGGATGGAGTGGGAACGGGGGAGGGAGACGGGAGAAAGCAGACAAGGAAATCAAGGAGTAAGGAGTGAGTAGAGAGTGCAGGCTTGGGAGCGAGAGGGATAGAGGGGTGTGTGTGGGGAGACTATGGGAAAAGGTGGGGAAGAGAGAGGCGAGCGCCACGCACCACGGCGAGCGCCTTGTGCCCCAGGTTGCGCGGATTGGCGGCGTCCGCGGGCAGGGGGTCGGCGATGAGCAGCGGCGCGCGCGCGCTGGGGTTGGGCGTGAGAGTGAGCAGGGCGCGCTGGGAGAAGTGCTGCTGCTGCGCGCCGATGGCCAGGCGGCCCTGCAGGAGAATGAAGGACGCGTTGAGGAGCAGCTGGGGGAGAGAGGGCGTGTCCTCGAACCTGCGCGGGGGAGGGAAAGAGAGATGGAAGGCGGGAGGGAGGGAGGGAGGGAGGGAGGGAGGGAGGGAGGGAGGGAGGGAAGGGGAGGGGGGGAAGATGGGCAGAAACAGAAAGAGGGGAGGAGAAGAGAGAGAGTGGGGAAGGGAAGCGGGGGAAGCAGGGCCGAGAAGGGAAAGAAGGTTCCGGTACATGAAGGCCTGAACTTGCGGATGATTAGATGTTGGGAAAAGAGGATCAGGACTCGGCGAGAGCGGGAAGAAGCGGAAGGGGAGGGGAGGAACGGTGCGGTGTTTGGGACAGAAGGTGAGGGCGCGGGAGGAGGAACAGTGAGAAGCTGATGGGAGGAGCAATAGGAGACGCAATGAAAGTCTTGCGCGGGCAGTTTTAGTCATCTGTACTGCCCAGCTCGGCAACGCTTCTCAAGGTGAGTCTGGCGCAGCATGGCATGGCATGGCATGACATGACATGACATGACATGAGAGGAAGTGGGAGAGGGAGGGGGAGAGAGATGCAGTTACACGAGGACGCCTTGTATTTGCAGGAGAGTGAGCGTCACGGGCGACGTGTCGAGCAGCACGGCCTTGCCGCACGGAATGGTCACGTTCGCGCCCACCTGCGCGCCCTGCCCCGGAATGCCCCCGCCCCCCCACGTCGACGCGTCGCTCCACCGCTCGAACGCTGCACGCGCGCGGGGAGGAGCGGAGGAGGAGAGGCCGGGGAATGCGGACGGATGGGGATGGGGCGGAAGAGGGAGGAAGGTACGGGAAGGTGGGGAGAAAACGGGAGGGAGGGGAGAGGGGGGTGGGTGGTTGGAGGGGGGGAGAGGGGGAGTGGGGAAGAGGAGAGTGGGGGGAGGATTGGGAGGGCGTAAGGAGCGGACGGCACGTAAGGAATCCGCCACGAGGAGGCGCCATCACGGGTGAACGTGAGCGATCTAGCTCACGAATAGTAATCTGTGATTCTTTAATGCGAAGGCCTATGGAAGCTTTTAAAAGCTCAAGCTGTGTGCACCACCGACTGACTCAACAACACCTGCCGACACGGACACTCAGAGAGCCGGCTGTGACGCTCAGCCAGCTGTGACGCTCAGCCGACTCAACTACTACTGTGTTACTCAACTCAACTACTGCCCTCCGACTGCCTCATCGCTCGTCTTCCCAGCGGATTTAATCGCCGTCGCAACGGCTGCCACTCGTCCTACTCAGTAATAGCTATAGCAGAACGCAGATGCGACTCGCGATTCATCTGCGGCTAGATTCCTACTTGTGGATTCTTCACTGCACGGCGAAGTAAAGCTGTCCGTCGCCGCAATCGGCGCCGCATTAGCCGCAAGGAGGAGCGGACGCGCCGCGCATCCACCGCCCCATATTCTCTCCCCGCGATTCACGGCGGACCAGTCGTATTTGCTGGGGGGAAGAGTCATGGAAGGTGGTTGCCACACTACTAACAGCAGGATGCACCATAGGAGCAACCATGGCCGCTGATGCTGCGAGAGCGGCGACATGGGCGGCGCGGGTGGAAAAGCGTCAGAAATTTGTAGTATTGTTCTGTTCTGTTAGGACGACAGCAGAAAGCTGGCCGGCCGCGAATCCTTTCCAAGTCAGGTTCGGAACGTTGCACGGGGAAAGTTTCAAAGTGACTCAGATCTTGCAAGGCGGATGGTCGTTTCGAAAAGCATGGTTTGGTTTCGCTTGCTGGCCTAATCTCCGATTCTCGTTAGACGAACGCAGTCGCAGCGCGGCAGGTCCGCTCTTCCAGGCCAGATTACACTATAATAGCGTTTTTTGCAAAGACATGGTGTGTATGGGGCACCTGAGCTTCCTTGCCCAATGTACTGTTGCCCAATGTTCACTCTACCAGAAGATACGTACACCATGCGTGAGCAGTTGGTGGATTAGTTACCCCAGTGTAACGACGATGGAGTTGGAAGCAGTTGGGATGTTCCAATGCCAAGGCCACTCCTGGGGGATTTTGTTCTCAGCTGACACTGGCTATTAGGGATCCTGTTCGAAAAAACTGTTATCAATTTACTTGAAACTTCACAAATACCACTCAGCTTCCCTCTCACTTAGAAGGTAGTCAGAGCTTAAGGAAACCTTCGAGTACAATGCATGATAACTGAACAAAGTGAACTATGTGGCAGCACTTTACAATACAATCAAGGGTAACAGAAGATCTTATATTAAAACCCTGCAATTGCTGCTGGCTAGACACTGGGTGAAAAATGAGAGAAGGGAAGGTCCGCTGGGACGGTGTAAGGTGATTGGTTCGGGGGTGAGAGGGAGATTGCTCGTCGTCGTGTTGCGGTGATGGTCCAACCTCGAGTTTGTCGGACTCTCAACAGACAAGACGAGTGAATGGAAGGACCAAACCGAACGAAGCCCAACCACCTTACTCGCCGACAACGACAACATGCATTTGCCAGCCCCTTTCCAATGCTGCTGCTCGCCAGCACCACCGCACATTTCCGCCACGATTCGGTACAGCACTGTGCTCTGAGCTCGAAAGCTCTGCTACACCAGGATGTGAATTGTATACATGTACAGTTTCTATCTGAATGGATTTTTTGGAAATGCTTAGCAATATGTGACTAACTGAAAATTCGTATAATAGCACAAAGTGTCTCGAGAGTCACAATATGGTCCAGGGATTACGTGCAAAGGTTCTTCAGCCTAGTCTCGTCGTCTCCAATCACTGGCACCATTGTCATGGCTGTATGGTGCAGACGATGGCGGCAGAAGGGATGGTGGTCGGCGCACAGACAGTGCGCGCGTAGTTATTGCCGTATGCGCGATCCACAATGACAGCCGACACGACGACGGATGCCCGTCGCACAAGACGGCTTAGGCAGGCCGACAGAATTCGAGTCTTGAAGCGAGAACGAGCGCGCGAGCAGTCGTCAAGCGAACAGCCGTCAAGCGAACAGCCGTCGAGCGAACAGTCGTCCAGCGAACAGCCGTCAAGCGAACAGCCGTCGAGCGAACAGTCGTCGCGCGAGCGGTCGTCAAAGGAGCGGTCTTCGCCATGGTGAGAGAGGATGATTCATGCCTCAGTGGCAACGGCGCTAGAGTTGGTCGATCTGCAAGAGACGACACAAACAAGGAAAAATTAGTCTCCAGGTACATCACGAGCCGTGGTAGGATTCAGAGACTCCTATAGCTGACAACGGTAAGTGGAGCATGAGGACGAACTGGATCTAAGAGGGAGTAGGGTTCGCGGGCTTGCCTTGGGTCTTGGTCGCAGCAGGCGACCGAGCGGAGAGAGGGAGGGCGGTAGGCGGTATGTTGGCTCGGAAAGATCCTCGGAGGGCGGGCGGGATGGGGGGAAGGGAAGGGAAACAGGGGGGACAGGGGGAGAGGGGGAGGGAAGAGGGGAGGCGGAGAGAAAGGATGCGGAGGGGGGAAGGAGAGTCAGTTAGTATGTCAGCTTGGTCAGTGGTTTATGACAAACAATAGGAATACGGATTGAAACGACCAAAAATCAAAACCTGGGAAGGCACCAGAAGCAACTACAAGAGACAGACAACCGAGGAGGAGGTCAAAGAGAAGGTATCAGTATCTCACCTTATGTTCTTGGATCCTCTCATCGCCTCATATGTACCTGTCCACCAGCTCCCCCAAACCACCTCTCCTCTCTCTCCGTCTCCCTCGCTCCTTCCATCCCTGCCTCACCCATCCCCCTTCCTCTCCTCCCGCCGTCCCCAGTAGGGGTCAGGGATCCGAAGAGCTTCCACACGCGGAGGGTTTCGTCGGCTGCTGCCGTGGCCACTGTTCGCCGGTCGGGCGCCTGCGAGGTCACAACCGCGCACGAACAGATCAAATCATTAGTGCAAATAACAGAAAGTCGTAATCCAATAACGAGCACATGACGGAGGTGATGCACAGTCCGAAAAGCTCACCACAGCCATATGAAGGATGCGACCGCGGTGACCTGTAAGCTTGCCCACTTGCAGCAAGGAGGAGCCAGCTCCCGCAACACCCGCTCCCGGGCCACCGCTCATGCTTGCAGTCGCAGTTGCGCTCGCGCCCGCGCCAACGGCCCACACGCAGATGGCATTCTCGCTGTAGCCATGCGCGCTGATGAGGTGGCGCGACGAAGGCCCCCACGACAGGCCCGTGACCTGCGACCCGGTGAATGTGGACGACAGCAGCGACCCCTCTTGCGCGTTCCACACCTTGATGCTCTTGTCGCTTGACCCGCCGCCCGTCGCCAGCATGTGTCGCTGAGAAGAAAAACAAGGCAAAACAAGGCATTAGCAGTCAATGTAAGTGAGGAAAGCGAAGAAGAAAAAACAGTCTCGCAAATCAGTCTAGCATAAGGCGGTAAGGGTGTCATTCCGGAGGGAGGTGCGATGCGCCTCAAGAGTTCAAGAGGAAGTTACCTGTGTGGGACACCATGCAAGGGCCTTGACCGCGGCCTGGTGCTGCGGGAACCGATGCACGCACGCTTGCGCTGTCGGGTTCGCCTCCATGCCAGAGGTAGCGCCAGCCGTTCCCGCCAGGGAGGCAGCGCGGCGGAGGTCCCAGACGGCGACGAGGTTGTCGTTGCCGCCGCTGGCGAGCACGGTGGCAGCGGATCCGCCGCTGATGCCGGCGGAGGAGATGGGCGCGAAGCGGAGCCCGCACACCTCGTCCCTGTGCACTCCACGCAGGCGGGATACCGCGTTGCTGGCCAGTCTCACTGCGAACGACGATAAATCAGTCAAAATATCAATGAATAAGTAAATGGAGTGCAAAATATATAAACAAAAGGAACGAGCTGGTAGCGGGTCGAGAAGCGTGCTGAAATTGCGGGACACGGGGACTGAAGGGTTTTCCAGCAGAACGACGTTTCGTACCGTCGTGCGTGAATATGGACGTGTCTCGACTGCCCGTCGCGAGCTGGTACGACGCTCCCCAGTGCATCGCGCTCACGCGGTCGCTGTGCCCCGCCAAGTCGCGAATCTGCCACACCAGAATAGAGTCAGAATATTAGTATACTTCGACGTCCGAAAATCGAAACGAAGCAACCGAAGACGCGAGATTCACGGTTGATGGTCAAGCGGCATCTCCCACGTCATCGCACCTTCCTGCACGGCTCGACAGCCCAGAGCTGCACGCAATCCGCGTGGTCTTCAAATCCGACCGCGAGGTGCGTTCCGTTGTCGGCCCACGCGACGGACGTGACATCGCTGTCGCCCGACACCACCTCGCTCACGGACCCCGTCTCGCTGTTCCACACGTGCACGGCGCTTCCCAGCCCGATGGCCACCACGCCCTTGCTGCTCCAGTCGAGCAGGTTCAGGTAGAAATTGTCCGCCATGTCCGGCGCATCGAGCACCAGGTCCGCGTGCTGCGGGCCGAATCACAAGGAGGAAACAGGAGAGAAACGAAAGCCATGAGCGACCGTCATATCCAAAGGTTTCATAATCTTGACGGCGAGGAAAAATCATGGACGAATCAGGGACAGAATCTTAGGCGTGTTTCGGACCTTTTGTTGCAGATTCAAGGGCCCGCCGCGTTTCTGGCCGGTCTTGGTGCCGGTCGGCGCGGCTCCCGCTGTCGGGCTCGCCCAGAAGTCACGGCTCTTTTCGAGCCTATGATGGCCCTTGGTGGACCCATCGCCGGCGTGTGCCTCGTTATCCGTGGCTCCGAACTGAAGCATGCGACGAGGAGTTCCCGAGGCCGTCTGTAAATCGTCCAGCAGGCTCGTGTTTAGTTGCCGGCGATAGCTCTCCTGCGCAAAACAACGAGAAAATTGTTATAATCCTGGTTTGTCCAGTTCTGCTTAAAGTACGTAAAAAGGAGACACGCGCGAATGAGAAGGGTTCTGACTCTGACCTGTGCTGGCGTCGTCACAGCGGCGGAGTCACCGTGTTTGCTGACTGGAGCTCGCGATGATGCGCCAGAAGCAAGCAGCATGCGAGCTTGTGATTTGGACAGGTTTCCACGGCTTGGAATGAACCGGTCAGACGCGGACGCCTGTATCAGAGAAACGACGCGAGAAGATATTAGAACGGTATTTGCAGTTTCCGAGAAAACAAGAAATTACTTGAACGAGGGCGAAAACTTCAGAGCTTCGGAGAGCTTACGTTGCAGTCAGCACGAGGTGTGCACCGCCTGACGGGTGTGGACGGAAAAGGGATCTCTCTTTTCTTGGTGGGAGTCGACGTAAACGTAGGAAGTGAGGCCATGGAACTGTCTATGTCCGCGTGTACCAACGCCGTGCGGAATGAGCGTCTGGAAACCTTGGCAAGCGGGACTGAATGCGAGGACGAGTTTTCAGGGATGCTAAGAACTCGAGAGGCTTGCAATGACAGATAAGCAAATGGGATAGGAAATCTTGGCTGCTGAAATAGGTTCCATTCCACAGCAGAAATGCTGCATAGAGCTTTATCCGTTGGTGATCATCGGTTCCACGGGTTTGAAAAAGTTTCCACTGGAGTTCCCGAAGGGTGCTGATGGCGGCAAGGTGGCGGCTGTTCTGTGTGGCGGGCGACCCTGACAGTGCTTCAAAACATGTGCGAGGCGCGCGGCGAGGAAGGTAGTGAAGGAATGATGTGTTACAAACGCAAAAGCCATGGAAGGGCTCAAACCATTCTTTACAACCATCCTAAAACAGCACCATTAACACCATTGGTTTGACATGGCTGCAATATCTCTTGTCAGATGATAAGGACGCTGCTGATATATCAAAATTGGAAACATACGGTAAACAAGTAGATTTATTAATTCTGTTCTTTGTGTATACACATACGGAAAATTATCTTATGAAACAATTTTCATAGCAAAAAATTGTTCAGTAAATCTAAAGCGGAGCTTCCAATCTGTAACAATCAGACTTGGTGATTTTAGAATTCTAATAAATCAAATTATTTTTATGGGTGCCTACATTAAAATGTCAGATCTGAGAATCAGCTGTATTTGTGCATAACTACTCTAGGTTATGGAATGTATTGCATTTTTATCTAATATGCTGTTCACTCAAATCTCAAGTTGCGAAACATTAGTCAGCCTTCTTCACCTTGCTTATACCGTAAGCGTTACCACATTATTCACGTCGTTGAAGTCGTTCATGCGAATATTGTCGCCACGAGCCTCCAATTCACCACCACCACCCCACCAACCACCAACAACCATCCATCATTTAGCATAGATGCCGTGCCGTCCTTGCTTCCACATCACATCACCCAAACTCCAGTCCAGCGCCTTCTATGCGATAGGTCTCTCGAGGCACAGCTCCCAACTACAGCGTCACCGCCGCGGAATTTCTCATCCATTCATCGTCTTTTCTATCATGAACGGTGAGAATCCGACCGGCCTTCACATTGCCGCGAAGCTGCGGAGCTAGTATCCCGGGCACCCAGCCACATCCACCGAGCCGGCACCAGTAGTGCCACCTGGGGGTGCTGCGACGCCTGCGGGTCGTGCGACGTCTGCCGATCGTGCGACGGCCGCACGGTGTGCGAGCCCTCCCCGCTCGCCGCAGTGGGCGCGGTGAGTGAGAATGGAGCGGTCCGGGGAGGGATCGCGGCGGGCGGCAGGCGGGAAGAAAGCGGCGACCAAATCGAAGCTCGTGGTCAGCCGCGCGAGGTACGGAACGAGAGACCAGGGACGAGGAATGAGGGAGTCGCCATACTCTGACACTGGAGTGCCATCGAGTCGTTGTGGAGTGTGCTGGAATTATGAATGCCGCTTAACGATCTTCGTGTACTCGTTTCCGCATCAGCTTCAGTGTCTACGTCAGCGTCGGCACAAGCGCCAGCCGCCTGCATCAGCGTTTCCATCATGTGGTTGTTCTGCCATCCGCGCTTGTGCGCAAAGCGAAGGCGCCAACGCATGACCTTAATTTCTTTTCTCGTTTCTCTCACAACAAGCAAATCCGTCTGTAATTCGTCGTTTTTCTCAAGGGGCATCCCGCTCCCTTACCTCTACCCTTTGCACAACCGCCCAGTTAACCTCAACAGGCCCGTAGGTTCTCATTGTAACACGTCAGCGTCCAGCAGTCGTAGCAATTCTCGCCATGCGCCCATCACCATCCCCTCTCGTCTCTAATCTCTCCATCTCTCCTCTTCCTTTGGCCTCCCTCTCGCATTCCCTTCCCTCCTCCCTCTCTGCCTCCCGCTCTCCTTCCCTCACTCCCTCCCTCTTTCTCACCCTCCATCCCTCTCTACATCTCTCCTTCCCACCTTCCCTCCCAACACCCCTCCCTCTCTCCCTCCCTTGTTCTCACCCTATCTTCCCCCACCGCTCTATCCATCTCTCCCTCCTCTCTCTTTCCCTCTCTCCCTCCATCCATCTATCCCTCCATCTCTCCCTCCCGTCCTCTCCACCTCCCTCTCTTCCCCCCTTCGCCCACCCCCCTCCCTGTCCATGCGCCCAGGCCATCGGACACCACCACAAACCTCGACGACAGCTGGCACATCCCCGAGCCTTCTGATTGGCTCTCCACGTCAGCCACCTCCACCACACCATCCACCGCACCCATAAATGCACCTGCGGCCGTTGCTGCTGCTGCTGATTCAGCACACTCCAGCGCCCACAGCAGCGGCAGAGGCCGGCTCACCCGCACGGGTCTCACCCGGGGGACTGCTGCTGCTGTTCCTCCTCCTCCTCTCGAGCCTAAACCAGATGCTCCTGCTGCTCGCGCTCCTGGTTCTGCTGGTGGGGGATGGGATCCGGATTGGGACGACATTCCTGGTGCTGGGGATGGCTGGGGCAGCATGTCGCCTGTTAGAGACGTGGAGAAGGGCGCGCGAAGGGGGAGTGTGAGTGGGCCGGGTGTGGGGGGAAACAGTGGGGGAGGGGGAGGGTGGGGGGGCGTGTGTGGTAGTGTGCGCGTGTGGAGCGGGGTGTGTGTGGTGGTGGTGCTGTTTGCGCTGATTGTGGGGGGGTTTGAGCTTTACTCTACCGTGCTTGGCCCTGCTGGGTGGAAACCGCCTGTGCCTCTGCTGCTTGTTGGTAGTGCTGATAGCGGTAGCAGCAGCCACAGCAGCAGCAGCGGCAAGAGTGGTGGTGGTGATGCTGGTGGTGGTGGTGGTGAGCAAGTGATGAGAGGAGGTGAGGAGGGAGGAGGAGGTGCGAGTGGGGAGTATGGGGGTGAACAAGCAGAGACAGTCACGCGTATGGCTCACACTGAACCACCTGCTACTGCTGCTGCTGCTGCTGCTGCTGCAGACCCTGCTGCTGCTCACACTTCTGCTGCCGCTGCTGCTGTTGCAGCTGATGCTGCGAATTTCTACGCTGTTGAATCACCCCCTGCAAGTCCTGCTGCTGCTGGGACGGCTGTGGCTGGCGGTGGGAGTGGCAGTGGGGGCATGGCTGTTGATCCGGTTCGCGAGCAGCAGCCGCCGCAAGAAGTGCAACAACAGCAGCAGCCGCAGCCGCAGCAGGAGCAGGAGCAGGAGAAAGAGATGGAAGGTGGGGGCAAGAGGGCAGGAGTGGAAGGGGAAGAGCTGGGCCGTGAGCAGCAGGGAGCAGTGGAGGCGAGTGGTGGTGGTGGTGGGGATGAGTTAGGCAGCCGCGGGGAGGGGAAAGCGGGTGAGGGCACTGTTAGGCTGTCTGATGGGGGGGAGGAAGGGGAGGGGGACGCGGGGAGTGCGGGTGAAGGGGAGGGCGGAGAGGGTGGAGAGGGCGGGGAAGGCAGAGAGGGCGGAGATGGCAGAGAGGGCGGAGATGGCAGAGAGGGCGGAGAGGTGGATGATATTGTGGAAGAGGAGAGGGAACTGAACCGACTGCTGGAAAGAGAGGGCGGAGGGCAGAGGAAGGACGAAGAGCAAGAGGAAGGGGTTGAAGAAGCGGTGGACGGGAAGGGGGAGGAGGCGTTGGGGGGCGGAGATGCAGCAGGGGGGGAAGATGGAGGGGCGGAGGAGGCGGAGGAGATTCTGATGGCGCAGCTGGCAGGTGGGGAAGGGGAGGGGGTGGAAGGAAGGGCGGAGGAGGGTGTTGTGAGGGGGAGAGGCAAGCGGGTCGTGGAGGGGGAAGAGAACGAGGTGGGTTCTGGTACTGGTGGTGCTACTGGTGATGATGATTTTGATGACAGTGCCTCTGCTGCTGCTGGCGACGGGAGGAAGGGCAGAGTCGACTCGCCAGAGGGGGAGCAGGACGCGGATGAGGATGATATGACAGGTGTGGAAAAGGGAGAGGAAAGAAAGAAGGCCAGCAGGAAGAGTGAGAAGGGTGGGAAGAGCGGGAAGGGTGGGAAGGGTGGGAAGGGTGGGAAGAGCAGTATGAGGTATGCCAGTATTGACGAGACTGCAGGTGACGCAGATGGGGACGGTGCGGCAGAGGGGGGTGTTGAGGGTGCAGGTGACGTGGACGGTGGGGAGCATGCAGAAGCGGGTGCAACTAGTGGGGACACGGAGGGTCTGGAAGGAAGTGCGGATGGGGAGGAAGAGAGGGCGGAGGAGGGTGGTGCTCAGAGAGGGGTAGCAGTGGGAACAGGACGAGGGAAGGGGAAAGGACGAAGAGAAGGCGGGGACACGGGTGGCGACGAGGGTGAAAAGGAAGGGGGAGAAGAGGAGGTAGAGGGAGAAGGGGAGGATGGGGGCAAGACTGAGAAGAAGGCGGTTAGGAAGTCGACGAGAGGCAGGGAGGAGACGAGCAGGAGTGGCGAGGGGGGTGTGGGGGAGGATGATGAGGGTGCAGGAGAGGAGAGCGAGGAGGGTGAGGAGAGGCTTGGAAAGGAGATGGCTGCAAAGAAGGGGATGAGTGGGGAGCGGAATTCGAAGCGGACTAAGGGGACGAAGGCTGGGAGAAAGGTTGAGACTGAAGGAACTGAGGAGGGTGAGGCGGAGACGACAGGGACTGGAGAGGAAGAGGATGGGGAGAGAGGGGATGAAGCTGCTGAAGAAGAGGGGGTGAAGGCAGCGGAAAGGAAGGTGCAGAAGGTGAAGAAAGGGGCGAAAAAGAGTGTGATTGGAGATGGGGGAACGAAGGAGAGGGTTACAGTGGGAGAAGGGACGAAAGGAAGGACAAAGACGAAGCAGGTGGGTAAGGGCGTGGGTGGGAGGGGTGAAGACGAAGAGAGTGAGGATGGAGCGCAGGAGGGTAAGGAGGGCGAGGGAGAAAGGAGTGGAGAGGGGGAGGGAAGTGCAGAGGAAGCAGAGGAGGAGAGGGTAGTGATTGAGCCGGGAGTGATAATGAGTCATATTCCTGTGAGTAAGAAACCTGTTGTGGTGGCAGATGCTGAAGAGACTGTGGGTGCTGACCCTGTGGATGAGGAGGAGGAGGAAGAGGCGCAGGCGGAGGAGGGGGAGGGGGAGGAGGGAGGAGAGGGAGGTGATGGAGGGGAGGGAGGAGAGGGAGGAGAGGAAGTCAATGTGAGGAGCAAAGGAAGGAAGGACAAGGGAAAGAAGGCAAAACGAGAAGCTGTGGAGGGGGGAGAGGGAAAGTCGGAAGGGGAGGAAGGAGAGGTGGGGGATATCAAGGTAAAGGCTCGCACGCAGAAGGGCAAGGGGAAGGCGAAGGAGGGGATGAAGGAGGCTGAAGATGGTGGCGAGGCTGAGAGTGAAGGTGCTGCGAATGCTGATGCTGATGCCGATGCTGATGCGGAGGGTAAGGGTAAAGAGAGTCGTGTGAAGAAGAAGAGTGATGATGGTAAGGAGAGGCAGGGAGGTAGCGGCTCTCTGCACACTGGAGTGAAGGAGAGCACAGCGACGGGAGGCACAGGGGAGGCGGACAGGGGCGAGGGTAGCGGGAAAGTGCGGAAGGGTGTAGCGGTTGAAAGGGGGAAAGGGTTGGCGAACGGGAAGGAGGAGGGGGAGGAGGTGGTGGAGGAGGAGGAGCAAGGGGAGGAGGCAGGGGAGGAAGGGGGGGAAGGAGAGGAGGAGGAAGTGGCACGTGAGGAGAGGAAGAAGGCAAAGAAGAAGGTGCATGGCCCGGGCAAAGGACACGGCAAGGAGGGCGCAGCAGCAGAAAGAGAATCGGGTAGTGTGAAAGAGAATGAGAAGGAGGAGGAGGATGAGGAGGAGAAGAAGAGGGAGAAGAAGAAGGAGAAGGGAGATGCTTCAGAGGATACTAAGAAACCATTGGCCATTGTGGGGGAGAAAGAGAAGGAAGAGGAGAGAGAGGAGGTGGTTGAAGGGGCGGGTGGAGGAGGAGGGGGGAAAGGCATTGCAGGGACTTATGGGAATGGACCACCAGAGAGTGATGCAGGGAAGGTGGTGAAGGGGAAGGCAGAGGGAAAAGCAAAGGGCAAAACGGAAGAGGAAGTGGAAGAGGAAGCGGAGGGGGACGAGGAGGGAGAAGCAGAGGGTAAAGGAGTGAAGGAAAGGGGTGAAGGGAAGGCAAAGAAAGAAGCAGGTGATGAGGATGGTGCAAAGGACGAGGAGGGGGAGGAAGTGGAGGAGAGTGGAGGGGGTGCAAGAAGGCCGGTGACAGATGCAGTGAAGGGGGAGAAGGTGAGGAAAGCTGGCAGGGGAGGTGATGGCGAGGGAGAGGCGGAGCAAGGTGAGCCGGGCGAGGAGGAGGTGGAGAGCGATGGGAAGAGCGGTGAGGGGAAAGATGATGCGGGTGATGGTCTGAGTGCGGGGGAAGATGGAGAAGGGCTGAAGCAGACCAAAGGCAAGAGTAAGATTAAGAGCAAGAGTAAGGGCAAGAACGAAATTCTGGGAGTAGTAGTGAAGGGGAAGGCAGGTAGTGCAGCAGGTAAGCTGGAGGAGGGGGAGGAGGGGGAGCGGAAGGAGGAGGAAATGCGAGGGGAGGGAAGGGATGGTGCTGATGATGGTGGTGATGGTGGGAAGGGGATTCGTTCCGTAGCTAGAGATGAAGAAGGGGTGGAGAGGACGGATGGTGGGCAGGCTGCAGTGGAAGGTGGGGCGGATGCGGATGAGGAGGGGAAGAGGCAGAGCAAGGTGGAAAATGAGGAGGAGGCTACAGAGGAGGAGAGGGAGGGGGGCAAAGAGAAGGAGAAGGTGAAAGAACGGGCAACAGAGAAGAAGCGCCAGCGACGGAAGGAGGGGAAAAGTGTGGACGAGAAGAGCAGGGAAGGGGAGGGGGAGGAGGAGGGGGAGGAGGAGGATGTGGTGGAGGAGGAGGTGAAGGGGGAGAAGGGGAGGAAGAGCAAGGCGAAGAGTCTGTCGGCTTTGGCGGGTGAGGCCACCACAGAAAATAATACTACTGGCAGTGGGAGTGATGATGCGAAACGATCAGCAGGATTGGGAGATGATAAACCGGCAGCTGACAGTGACACCACTGGTGTTGCGACACCTCGTAGTGGCGATACCCCTCACAACACCAGGAGCAAGAGTGGGGCTGCTAGCAATGGCACAACGGGCAGCAGGAGCGAGCCTGAGGTGGTGGAGAGGGAGTCGGAGGATGTTTCTGCAGAGGCAGAAGGCAACAGGACAGCCACGGCAGGAGCTGCAGCAGAGGCCGTGGGGAGTGCGGCGGCAACGCTGGCAGCGGAAGGGAGGGCGGTGCAGGAGGGAGAGGACCTTATGGCTGTGCCTGATCAGGTGGGGCATGCGGGTGATGGTGGTGGTGCCCCAGATGCGCATGGAGAGGCACGTACAGGTGGGAAGGGTGGGGTGGCTGGCAGTGGTGATGGCAGTGAAGCTGCGAGCAAGGATGGGAAGGCAGTGGTTTCGCTTGCTCTGGCAGGTGTTGGTGAGGCTACGGGTGGGAATGGGAATGGCAGAAGTTCAGAGAAGGGAGATGATACGGCTGGGACAGACGGCGAGGCAGCAGGGGAGGTGAGGAAAGGGGGAGATGAGATGAGGGGACAGCAGGAGAGTGGTGGGGTGGAGGGGGGTGGGGATGAAGTGGAGGAGAGGGAAACGAGGAAGACGGGGAAGGGGAAGAGCAAGTCAAAGTTGAGTAAAGGCGAGGCGAAGGCGAAGAAAGTGGGAGGATCTTCAGAGGGGTTGAGTGAGGAGGACCATGAGGAGGTGAAGGGAGTGAAGGGAGAGGGGGGAGAAGGGGGGGAGGGGGGAGAGGGGGAAGAGGAAGGTGCAAAGTCAGAAGAATAAGTGGTGGCAACAGGTGTGGAGGCAGCAGGAGGGGCGGAAGGGGCGGAAGGAGCAGAAGCAGAAAGGGCACAAGGGGGGGCCACAGAAGCTGGTGGCAGTGCAGTTGCTAGTGGGCGCTCGGACAAGGTCATGAAGAAGAGTGAGGAGAAGAAGGCTTTGAAATCCAAGAGGAAGAAGAGGAAGGCCAAGGGGACAAGCAGGAAGGCTCTGAGTGCCCGCGAGCAGGGTGCGCCTGTCGAGTGATGGATTGGTGGAATGATGGGTTGAAAGAAGGATGAACTGAACTGATGGAGAATAGGGGACCTAATGGCAGGTGTTGGAGGAGATGCGTGAGACAGCAGAGGCTAAACCATGCAAGAGCAGATGGACAGCTGGAGCGGAGTGCAACTTTGATACTTTGAGCTGCGAACTATACCCGGAAGGGCAGGAATGGAGGGCTGGGTGAGTGGGTGGGTGGTGGGGTGGGGATGGAAGTGGCACTGGCGACGAGGAGGGTGTTCCGTTCCTTGGAAACTTCTCAACGTGTGCTCTTGGTATGGCATTGCTGGGTGGTGCATTAAGCAGGGAGTTCAAGGATGTGGGCGGATTGAAGTTAAGGATGATGGTGTTTGGGGTTTACAGTATATGGTAAATTATCTAGGTAATAGTGTTTCGATGGACTCCAAAAATGCAAGCATGTCAAAACTTATGAACTACTGAGATATCTACCTAAGTTTTCTAAAAGAAAAGCTAACATTGGTATTTGAAGGAGAGCAATACCCAATCATATGGTACACTGCTAGTTGTCAAGTGGTAGAGTAGAGTATTTCATGTTTTGAGTCGACTCAAAAGCCAACGTAGGTATTTGAGGCAAAGCAATACACGATCACACACTGCTGATTGTCAAACGGTAGAGTGCGTTTGTTACCGCAAGGTTCTAACTTTCGCCATCCGTGGGCTAAGACAAGCCCTCTGGATCTTCTAGTCTGGTAGTTCATACCACAGCCATCCCTCCCCATCCTTCCTTGTACAATCCCGTGCCGTTCGGTAAAAAAACCATTCACTTCCGTCCCCTCTCGTCACCTCCCGAACCCATCCCCTCCCGTCCCCTCCCATCCTTTCCCGCCCCCTCCCATCCTCTCCCGTCCCCTCCGGCCCAGCCCCGGCCCAGGTTTGTACACAATCAGCCATATCCTGTGTCGTCGCCCTGCCTCTTTTGAGACAGCTCAAAACACCTCCACCATCCTCTCGCATCCATGCCCTTACCCCTCACACGCAACCCTTACCCCAGCCTATCCACAATCGCATCAACCATATCCTGGGTCGTGGCCCCACCCCCCATATCGGGAGTGAGCACGGCCCCCTCGGCCAGCACGCCCTTCACGGCCCCCTCCACTCGGTCAGCAAACACCGGCAGGTGCAGGTGGTGCAGCATCATGGCTGCTGAGAGCAGCAGCGCCGTGGGGTTGGCCGTGCGCTCTGATACCATGCGCTCGTTTCCCACGTTGCCTGCCGATGCGCCCTGCTCGAACACGGCTGCGTTGTCGCCCACATTGCCTGGCAGGAGGACGAAGGGCCCGGAGGGAGGGGGGGGGGGGGTGGGGGGGGGGAGGGGGGGGATGGGGGCAGGGGTGGGATGGGGAGGAGGGTAAAAGTTGGGTGGGGGGGGGGGGAGGTGGGGAAGGTGAGAGGGATGTTGGAGGAAGGTGGTATGCGGAGATGCAACAACAGGGAGGGGGGCGGGGGGGAGGGGATGTTACGTTGAAAACATGCCAACAAGTTGCCCTCTGCGATGGCCTCTGCAATGCCCTCTGCGATGGCCTCTGCAATGCCCTCTGCGATGGCCACCGCAGTGCCCACCCCAATGTTCAGTTCCCATCTCGGTGCCATCCCTGTTGGTGTACCTCCGGGCATGAGATAGGAGCCCCCACAGATGCCCGCTGCTGTGTTGGCCACCAGCGAGCCGTACAGATTGGGCGTCACCTGATGCACAGGGGTGGAGGGAGATATGACACTCCACCATGCGCGCACATGCACACACATGCATGCACAGACATGCGCACACATGCACCCACTCACGTCCCACCACCCCAATCCCCTCCCCGTTGCCCACCCAAACCCCATGTGCCACCACCCCCTGTTCTGCCCCCTCGTGTGCCGCCCCCATACACATGCCTATCCCCCACAGCAAGCACCGCACCACCCCCCACCGCACCACCCTACACCGCACCACCTTGCACCGCACCACCCCCCACCGCACCACCCTACACCGCACCACCCTGCACCGCACCACCCTGCACCGCACCACCCTGCACCGCACCACCCTGCACCGCACCATGACGTCAAACTGCTGGGGGCGGCGCACGAGCTGCATGCAGCAGTTGTCCACAATGATCTCGCTGTAGCGCAGGTGTGGGTACGCCTGCGCCACCTGCCGCACAACAGCACAACAAGCGGAGGAGGAGGCGGAGGGGAATGGGGTGGATCGGGATGACTCTTGAGTGGTATCACAGTCAGTTGTCCACGACACGATGATCTCGCTGTAGCGCAGGCGCGGGTACGCCTGCGCCACCTACCGCACAACACCGCAACAAGCGGAGGGCGGAAGAGCAGGGAACGGATAACTTTGAGTTGAATCACAAGCAGTTGTACACGATGATCTCGCTGTAGCGCAGGTGCGGGCGGGATTGGGCCACCTGCCCACTCCAATGCACCAACGGTAAAAGGGGGAGAGAGGCAGGCGGGGTGGGGTGCAAGGGGATGACTTGTGAGTGGACGAGCAATTCACCACGATGCACCGCAGATGCGGGTACGTCTGCTCCACAACATGCAGAGGGGGGCAGTGGGAAGCGGAATGGGATAAACTTTTGGGGCGCCTAAGAAGTCTGTACCGCCCAGCTGCAGGTACACCTGCGCCACCTGCCCTGCAGCAACGTGACGTGTTGCATGGAATTTTTTAGAATTCTGAAAAACTACCCTGCCTCGGAAGGGAAGCGAGGAGGGCCGAGGGGGAGGGTAAGAAGGGGATGGGGAAAGAGAAACTTCTACGTGCGACACTTGCAATGATAGTGCCCGGCCACTCATCACGCACCCTCAAACCCCTCGAAACCCTCAAAGCGGTTACACCTGGCGGCACGAGTCGAGGAAGAGTCCGTCCGAGACCTTCATAAAACGTAGCCCTTATGCACCACCGTGACGGCCCAGGTAGCTAGTTTGAGGCACCTCACGGCCCTCACCTCAAAGCGCGCTGGCTTGGCTTCCCCACCTGGCGGCACGAGTCGAGGAAGAGCCCATCGGAGACCTTTCATGACGTTCGCCTTGTGCACCGCCGTGACGGCGCGACACCCGTTGACTGCTTTTAAGGCGCCCCAAACACAGGCCCCTCGAGGCCCACTGTGCTCTCATGTCATGTAATCTCATCTCATCCCATCCCACCTGGCGGCACGAGTCGAGGAAGAGCCCATCGGAGACCTTTCATGACGTTGGCCTTGTGCACCGCCGTGACTGCGCGACGCCCGTTGACTGCTTTTAAGGCGCCCCAAACACAGGCCCCTCGAGGCCCACTGTGCTCTCATGTCATGTAATCTCATCTCATCCCATCCCACCTGGCGGCACGAGTCGAGGAAGAGCCCGTCGGAGACCTTCATGACGTTGGCCTTGTGCACCGCCGTGACTGCGCGACGCCCGTTGAGGTACGCGTACTGGAAGGCGTAGCGCGCTATGCGCTCTGAACAGAACTTGCTCACCACCTGGGGAGAGGGTTTAGGGCGGCAGCTTATGAGTCGACTCAAATTCAAGTGGAAGGCGTAGCGCGCCGCACTATGCGCTCCGAACAGAGCCTGCTCACCAGCTGGGGTGGGAGACGGGAAGAGGGAGGGGGCGGGGGGCGGGGGAGGGGGAGGGGGAGGATGGTGGGGATGAGGGGGGAGTGGGAGGGGGACGGAGACGGGGAGGTGGAGGGGAGATTGGGAGGGAGGAGGGGGAGGGGAAGGAGTAGGGGAAAGGATAGGGGACCCCGAAGGTGCAAGACTAAGCAGGGAAGGGATTGCAGCAGGGAAGGGATTGCAGCAGGGAAGGGATTGCAGCAGGGAAAGGATTGCAGCAGGGAAGGGATTGCAGCAGGGAAAGGATTGCAGCAGGGAAGGGATTGCAGCAGGGAACGGATTGCAGCAGGGAAAGGATTGCAGCAGGGAAGGGATTGCAGCAGGGAACGGATTGCAGCAGGGAAGGGATTGCAGCAGGGAAGGGATTGCAGCAGGGAAGGGATTGCAGCAGGGAAGAGAACTCGGGAGGGGTACGGTGACCAAGAGCAGCACTATGTGTGTGACTGAACGAACCAAGAATCCATGTCGCAGTAAACAGATTAGCGGCAGGCAGTTAAACGAACGCGCATTCGTAGAACTGAATGGCGCAACACAGCGAGTGAAGAAGAACGAACCAAGAGAAACCAAAGGGAACCAAGGAGGAAACACAACACAGGGGAACCATATGAATTGACCAGACGAACCAGACGCGTTGATGAGGAAGGAGCACAGAGGTCAGTTCCTTAGAGAGGGGCTGGCAGGGGCTGGCGCGCTGCATACCTTGAGGGACTCGACCACACCTGGCACGACCTCGTGCTCCAGCCCGCTGTACTCGCCCTCCGTGTTCTCCCGCACCACCACTATGTTCACCCCCCGCGGCCGCCGCCGCAGCGCCTCTGCCACGTCCCTTCGCGCATGCCCCTGCCCCTGCTCCCCCACCCCCACTCCCGCTCCTGCATCCCCATAATCGCTCTCAGCACCCGCAGGTGATATGTCATGAGCATCGGAGTGGGTGTGGGTGTGAGAGGAAGGTGCAGGGGAGCGGTGGTGGTGGTGTGGGCGTTTGGTGGCGATGGGGATGTCGTGGCAGAAGACAAGTCCAGCATGAGTGCTTTTTGAGTCGACTTCACAACGGGCGTGCAGTGCAGTGCAGTGCAGTGCAGTGCACTGCAGTGCAGGCATGCAAGGCGTCACACTGCACTCACAAGGCACAGAGCAGAGAGCACTCACAGGCGTGGCGAGGCCACCCTTGAGCCCGACGCCGTTGCGGTGCAACGAGTCCAGCACGTCTGATCATAGAGCCGACTCAGAGATGGGCGTGCAAGCTGCACTGCACTCACAAGGCGCAGACCAGGCGGAGCACTCACAGGCGTGGCGAGGCCACCTTTGAGCCCAACGCCGTTGCGGTGCAGCGAGTCCAGCACGTCTGCAGGCAGGCGCGGCATCCTGCCGCTGATCTCACACACCTCAAACTGCACCGGCGCCCACATGGCCGTCAGCACCTGCGAGGGGCAGCGGGGAGCGCGCACAGCAAGGGAAAGCAGGTGGGATGGGAAGGGGAGAGATACATGAGGTCGGGGGGAAAGGCAAGATCTGGACAGCTGTGGGAACTCAGCCTCAGGTAGTTCAGGGCTCAAAGCAGAATGAGCAGGTCAGGACAGGTCAGGGCAGGTCAGGACAGGTCAGGGCAGATCCGGGCAGGTCAGGGCAGGTCAGGACAGGTCAGGGCAGATCAGGGCAGATAAGGGCAGATCAGGGAAGTCACAGCAGCAACATCACACACGCATCACTTTTCATTCCAGCACCCTCACAACATAGCATCACACACATCGCAAGCACCTGCACCACGGCCTCAGCAACGAGAGGGCCAATGTTATCCCCAGGCAGCAGCAGCAACACACACGCACGCATCACCTTCATCTCAACACCTTTACATCTGTGCACGCACGCGCCTGCACCATCCTCATAGCATGCACACACACACGCGCACCTGCACCACGGCGTCAGCAACGAGCGGGCCAATGCCATCCCCAGGCATCAGCGTCACCGTGCGGGGGGCGCTCTCCCCTGGCCGAGGCATGTACGTCACCCACCGCCGCTGCTCCCACTGCTGCAACCCCCGCTGCTGGTCCTTCCACTGCCCCTGCCGCTGCCACTGCCCCTGCTGCTGCAGCTGCTGCCCCTGCCAGTGGCGATGGCTCAGCGAAACGGGCGCACCTGCACGCACCGTTAGAGACTCGTACTGCCGCGGCTGGGGCTTAGGCGCGTTCGACTCGCGGGCTTTTCCCCAAAGACCAGACTTGGAGAGTGTTTGTAACGGTGGAAGGGATCTCGAGGTCAGGCTGTTGTGTACCGAGGGGTTTATCGTGTAAGCGTGGAGTGACGCGCTGGGTGTGATTGCAGCGAGGGGCGAGAAGCACGGGGTGGAGTAAAGAGGGACGAGCGGTGGGTGGTTGCACGTGTTGGGCGGTTGGCGGGAAAGCAGAGGCACGCGACAGGAGCACGCTCGAAATGACGAAGCCGCGGATCGAGCGAAACGCCTCGACATGATGACGACAATGATATTGTCTCCCCTTAGGTTCCACAAGCTCTTTCAGATCTGATATACGCCACACTCGGTCGAGACTTGAAAGAGAGACTCCGTTCTCCGTCTTTTTTTCCAGTCGAAAGCAGAAACCGCACTTGCACAGCACTCTAAAGGCCGAGGCGACACTGAGGAAACACAGGGATAGCCCATCTTTCTTTCGCCGGGTGAAGGAGACGGGTCGTCCGCTCCGCGGCATTAGCGCATCTATCACTTGCTGCTCTTGACCAGCCCTGCATTGACCTGCCCCGCATTGCGCCTGCGGCTAGCTAGTACGACGGTGACGAGCGCGTACGCCGAGAAGAATCTCTTTCTCCGCGGATCCGCGGCGCAGCGGGGATGAGGGGCTGGGGGGATGAGGCGAGTGGTGGGGGCCCTTTGGGAATACCGCCGAGCACACGAGGCAGCGGGGCTTGCGTGGCCAGAGGAGGGGCCATGGTGGGGGTGGGGCACGTGCATGCTGGCGGCGGCATAGGAGGCGAGAAATCGAGAGTGCGGTGCGTGGAATGGGCTGGAATTGTGCCCTTTGCTCAGGAAGGTGCGTGGTAACTGGCAGGGAGTGGGCCCGCCTGACGTGTCGGCTATAGTTGCCTCTGGAGTGGTTTTGTTGGTTGAACTACAGCTTGGTCTATTCTTCTCTCCCTAAAGGTTCATAATCCGTTTCTATAGATTTTGAAAAACATAAGCATGTACACTCTGAAACAGATTATGAACCTTAAGGGTCAAAAGCATTTTATCCTTGAATAGATTTTGGAACAGAAGCTAGCGAACATACAATAAGGTACACTTCCCTAGACGCACATGTTTGCTTGCAAAAAGCATGGCAAAATGTACAGTGGGAGCCTCGTAGCATAACATACCCTCCCCCAACTTTTCATCTCCTATCTGGTGCTGCTGCTTGCCTGCCCCAGCTGAAACTTGTCCACATCTTCCATTCCATCCATCATCGTTGCCGATTGAAGTACCCATCTATGCGGTGCATGTCCTTTGCTCTTGCTGCTTGCCTATCCCAGCTGGACCTTCTCACACATTTACCACCATTTTGGTCCATCATCGTTGCCGGCTGAAGTACCCATCTATGCGGTGCATGTCCTTCGCTCTTGCTGCTCCTGCTTGTGGCTTGCCCTTTACCAGCTTGCGCTTGGCGGGAAGTGCGGACCGTGAAAGCTGGAGGAGAGAGGGCGGCAGCAGAGGGTTAAAACGGGGAAAGAGGAAGGAGGAGCCGGTGAGCATATTCACTAAAAACCACATGTAAGTGCAGCACACACATTTCCAGTGCAGCACACACATTTCCAGTGCAGCACACACATTTCCAGTGCAGCACACACATTTCCAGTGCAGCACACACATTTCCAGTGCAGCACACACATTTCCAGTGCAGCACACACATTTCCAGTGCAGCACACACATTTCCAGTGCAGCACATTTCCAGTGCAGCACATTTCTCCAGTGCAGCACATTTCACCAGTGCAGCACATTTCTCCAGTGCAGCACATTTCTCCAGTGCAGCACATTTCTCCAGTGCAGCACATTTCTCCAGTGCAGCACATTTCTCCAGTGCAGCACATTTCTCCAGTGCAGCACATTTCTCCAGTGCAAAGGATGTCAATTGACACTTCAATGCACACGTAACACCAACAAGGATGGCACTCAGAGCAAAAGTATAACTCTCTCTGTTCAGACCACTCACTCACCTCGGTGCTGCTAAGCTTGAGTATCCGTTGCACCCCACCCCTGCCATCAGGACCCATGGCCACGAGAGGAGCAGTGGAGAGAGATGGAAGAGGAGGAGAAGCACACGACGGCAACGAGGTGCGAGCAGAGATCACGTGCTGGCTGTGTATGCTGCCAGTGGAACCGGCTTGAATCCCTGCTCCTGCTCCTGCTCCTGCTCCTGCTCCTGCTCCTGCTGCTCCTGCTCCTATTCTTGCTCCTGCTCCTGTTCCTGCTCCCACTCCTGTCTCCATCCGTGCGCCTGTCCCTGCCTCAAGGCTTATGCCTGTCCCTGCACTCGGCTGTGCATCACTGGTGGTCTCGTTGCTGTGCCTTGCTGCAGCTGGTCCCCTTATCCCTGCTGCTCCCCTCGCACCATCACCACTACCACCACCACTGTCACTAACAGCAGCACCAGTACCAGCAGCAGCGGCAGCAGCAACACCAGCACCACCAACATCATCAGCAGCAGCAGCAGCAGTGGCAGTGGTGGTACCATTGGCAGTAGCAGCTCGGGCAGTGGCGGCAGCAGTTGCTGTGGTGCCGCTGCTGCTGTTGCTGCAATTACCAGCAGCATTGCGCACAGGAGCGGCATACACGCATGGGTCGTGCATGCCAGGAAGGTGCTTCGGAGCCAGCACAAAAGCAGCCTTGCGACCCGACACGTGCACATGCACCTGCCCCCCTGAATGCCCTCCCTGCTGCTGCTGGTATTGAGAGCGGTTTGAGTGGGCAAAAGAGCGAGCTGAGGAGAGGAAGGCGGGTTGTGGCTTGTGGCGGTTGAGAGAGGGGAGAGAGGAGTGTGCGAGGCGAGAGAACTGTGGGGCTGGGAGGGCTGGGGTGGAGGAAGAGGAGGCACGATTGGGACGTGGGGAAGAGAGGGTGCAAGAAGAGAGGGAGGGAGAGAGTGAGAGACAAGGAGGTGGAAACGGTGTGCGCGATGGTGCAGGATGGATGGACATGCATGGACAGAAGGATCTGACTCAAGCGTGCTGCCACGCTCGCCGAGCGATTCATCCGTGAAGTGGAATACACTATATGACAGGACATGACACCAACGACACTAACGACAGCAACAACAGCATATATGGCATGGCAGGACCAGTTTCAAGTTGTAATCCGAAAGTGCACTAGTACAGAGGAGAGGACCGCTCAACAGAGCGCAGAAAAATTGCACGCCTGACTTTTGGGACACCTCAAATGTTGTACCCACAGTGCGTTCATTCAGAGTATTATACAAGAGCGAGCAGCAACATTGCATGCGTACCAATCATTGACATTGGCCCACCTGTTGCTCACCTGAATGTGACAACAGTGGCTCCATCTTCTCCTGTTCATCGCCATACTCCTCCCCTTGCATCCACTCCCCTCCCCACTCACTCTCCACCTCCCTTTGCCTGCCCCCCTCGCCGTCCTCCCCCCGTTCTCCCCTGCCCGCTGCACCAGCACCACAGGCTTGTTCCACATGCCCCTCGCTCCCACCTGCCCGCTCTCCTCCTCTCACTTCCGTCGCACGCGCCACACCTCCTCTCCATCCTTCTTCCTCCGCCTCGCCTACAGGAAAAGGCGGTACTGGCACTCTCATTGCTGCTGCCCCTGCTGCTCCTGCGTCTGCTGCTTCCGCCCCTCCGCCTCCTACTGCTCTGTCTGCTGCAGCTGGCGCCTTTGCTGTTACTGCGGTTGCCCGCCCCATGGGCATAGCAGCAGGCACAGTGCGTGCAGGGGGGGCGAGGTCATCAGCAGCATGAAGCAGCCCGTCTAGGAAATCATCCTCCTCGCCCTCCCCCTCCTCTTCCTCCTCACTTGCCTCCTCCTCACATGCCTCCTCCTCACATGCCACTTCACTTGCCACCTCACATGCCTCTCCATATGCCTTCTTCTCCTCCGCCTCATCGTCATCATCTAAGCATATCACATCTTTCTCTGCACGCTGCCCTCCATTCACTCCTCCTGGCCCCCCTCGCCCTCTGGCAAGACCTCCACATGCGCCAGCAACCGCATCCTCAGCTTCCTCCTCCGCCTCACCACCCCGCACCCTCCCCTCAACACTTGTCCCTCCTTGCCGAGTGTCCGGATTGCTCACATGCATGTGTGCCGCCGCCTGCGAAACAGGCTGCACCGGTGGTACCTGTGACTCGTGCTGTGCCTCTTGCACATGCTGCTGCACTGCTCCCTTTGCTGCCACCTTCCTCCCTCGCATGGGGAACGGAGACAACACACAGCTCCCCCTCCTCACCTCTTCACATCCCTCGCCCTGCCCTGCTTCCTCTGTGGCCCTGCCCTCTCTGACTCCCTGCGGCCGTCTCTCCTCTCCTTTTCTTGAAAGAAGATCGGCTTGAGAAGCCGCCACATTGGCAGCAGCACCCGCAGCAGCAGCAGGAGCAGGAGTAGCAGGAGGAGCATGAGCATGCGCAGCAGGAGCAGCACCCACAGCAGCAGCAGGAGCAGCACCCACAGCAGCAGCAGGAGCAGCAGAAGAAGCATGAGCAGCAGTAGCGGCAGGAGCAGCAGGAGCAGAATCAGGAACACCATCTCTGCTACTTCCTTTCCCAGCTACTCCTCTCTTACCACCAACCACTCCTTCCTTTCCCCGCCCTTCCTCGTCCTTCTCCCCTGTTCCTCCTCTTCCCTTCTCCCTCCCCTCTTCCCCCCTCTTCGCCCCTGCTTGCATGCGCTTCTTATGAAGGCCCGGCACCCCCTGCAACGCCCCTCCTACAACCACACAAGGCGCAGGGGTGCGGGGAGGGACGCGAGCCGATGCAGCAGCAGCAGCACCACCACCACCACCAGAACCAGAGGCAGGGGTAGCGGCAGGGGCAGGAGAGCGAGAGGAGCGAGGCGGGGTGGTGGCAGAGGAGTTAGCGTTGGCCTTGAGCTGGGTCATCTGGGCCTATTGCACACACATGGGAGGAGTGGAGAGACGAAGGGAGGGGAGGGAGAGGAGAGGTGCTGGCGTTGGTGTTTAGCACTAATACCACATGTGCTAGCAGTATTACCACATGTGTTCGCACTATTACCACATGCATTAGCACCAGTACCACATGTGTTAGCAGCATTACCACATGTGTTAGCAGTGTTACCACATGTGTTAGCAGCATTACCACATGTGTTAGCAGCATTACCACATGTGTTAGCAGTATTACCACATGTGTTAGCAGTATTACCACATGCGTTGGCAGTATCACCACATGCGTTAGCAGTACCTGCAGACTAGCAGAATAGACTCATATCAAGGATAATGGTATTCTTACTTGATTACTTCGACTCAAAACAACTCTGCAAAAAAAACACATGCAACCTCCCAGCAATACCTGCAGTCTAGCCGCAACGGAAGAGAGGCGGGCATTGGTAGAGGCCAGCAGGGAGTGCTGTGAGGTGAGGCGCGAGAACTTGGTGAGAAGGTCCTTGTATTGCCTGAGATGGTGCGGAAAGGGGGGGGAAGGGGAGGGGGTGTAAGAGAGGGCGGAAACAGGAGCGGAAGCAAGGGCAGAGGCGGGAGAAGCCTTTGCGACGCCTCATGAAAGAACATGGTGAGAAGGTCCTTGTATTGCTTGAGGTGGTGGGGGGGAAGAGAGGGCGCGGAGGCAGAGAGGGCGCAGCTTGGGCAAAGAGAGGACAAGGGGGCGGCGAGAGGAAGTGAAGGCCAAGGTGGAGAACCTAGAGGTTCTTTAGGCGAATCGAGAAAGAAATTGATGTGAAGGTCTCTGTACAGGCTGGAATGGGGGCAGAAGGTTGGTTTGGGAGAGGAAGCGGAGGAAAGAGAGGGAGTGCAGAGCCGAGAGGCAGTGAAGGCATCACGTGCACAAGCGAAGAAACAGAGAAGCTTGGCTCGAGCTCGAGGGAATGCGAGTCGAAAAGGGAGGGGGATGCGATAGGGGAAACCAGCGAGGGAGTTGTGGGAAGGGAAGCAGAAAGAGGAGACAGCACGTGCAAGAACGTGACTGCACAACGCATCCTTCCCTGCATCACCACCCCGCACCCCTCTGCACTGCATTGCACCAATAAAACATGCCCAGGTGCTCCGTACTTGTTTCTCTCCATCAGCGTGTGCTGCAGCACGCAGATCACACCAGCGTCACTGCTACTGCTGCCACCGCCGTCGTCGCCATTAGAGCCGTCACCATCCCCCCTTTCGTCCATCATCCACGTGTGCTTGCCCTTCCCTAGCTTGCCCCTACCACCGCTGCCACCTACGCCCGCGCCAGCGGCAGCGGCGGCAGCTGCGTCTGTGGCTGCAGCGCCTGCTGCCATGCGAGCCATCTTGAGCAGCCCTTCCCTGCTTAGCTCTATCTGCTGCATGCTGCCATGTGTGGGTGGGGGGGAACGGAGGGGGAAGGGTTGGAGGGAAGAAGGTTGTTTGGCATTAAGACGTTTCACAATTTGGTGCTGGCAGCATTGTGTCTGTGGGTGGCTGCTGCGTCTGCTGCCATGCGAGCCATCTTGAGCAGCCCTTCCCTGCTTAGCTCTATCTGCTGCTGTATCTGCTGCTGTATCTGCTGAAAAATGTCGGTGGAGGAAGGGGATGGAGAGGAGAGGGTTATTTGGGCTTTAATGACCTCCCAAAGTTGGTACTGGCAGTAGCAGCTGTGGTGGTTGCTGCTGCCCTTCTGCAAGCCGTCGTAAGCGGGCCTTATTTGCTCTCTCCTACCTGTTGCATGCTGGCATGTGCGGGTGTGAAGGGGGAGGTTGGAGGGTGTTTGGGGCAGGGCGGAGTACTGTGTGTGTGGGCCCCGGGGGGGTGCGGATACATGGGTGTGAGGATCGGCGGGTGGTTGTGAACGTGTGTTGCATGCAGACGTGTAAGTGTGTGAGCACGTGTGACGGGGTGAAGGAGGCATGCACATGCACACTTGGGCTAAGATGACTCAGGGATACGCATGCACATGCACAATAGATAGTGCACAGATATGGATAGACTGCAATAGTAGAACCACAAATTGTGCCAGAAAGAAATTATCCATGCAAACGGGGGGGGGTCAGGAAGGCAGGGCGGCGAGAGAGTGGATACGAACAGAGCCATGGCTGCTTCGCTGCACTGTGCAATTAGTACAATGATGAATAAGGGCCAGCAATGATGAAAGCAAGGGCGAGGGAAGGGAAGGAAGGCAAGGAGGAAAAAGGAGGGCGGAGAGAGGGTGGGTATGTACGCACAGAGCCATGGCTGCCTCGCTGCACTGTGCTTGCTGCAGCTGCATCTGCAGCACTTTGCACTCGTTGCTCTTTGCATCCACCTCCTGGCGCGTGGCACACACGCGGGATAGCGCACAGGAAAGAGACGAGAGCGCGGAGAGAGGTAGAGAGGGTGAGGGTGGCAGCGAGGGCGGAGAGAGGCTGAGAGCGCATGAGTGAATGAACGGGTTTCAGTATAGGTGCGTGACGGATACGAGACAGCAAGGGCAGGTACGCTGATGAAGCAAAACAGCACACGTATGCTGATAAGTCTTCCTGCCTGCAGCACTTACTCCGTTTCGCCTCAACCGTTTCCTCACTACCATTTCACCACCTTCACCATCCGTGTCCATTGCCTCTTTCGCCCCCCACTGTTTGCACCCCCCTTAACAGCCTGTCGCTCCCTCCTCTGCCCTTATGTCCTTGCCGTCTGAAACATTAAGGCTGTATCCCGCTTCCTGCCAGCAGTTGCTCCTTCTCCCGCGCATGCGCCGCTCTCTGCACCACCGCTGCTGCTTCCCCTACGACCACCAGCCCCCAACCTCCCTCCCACTCCCTTCTGTCCTCTCCACTGTATTCTCCGCCCCCTCTCCGCCCACTCCCCAATCTCCCCCCTCTCCCTCCATCTCCCCCCTCTCCCCCCTCTCTCCCCCTCTACCCCGCCCACCCCCCCCTCCCGCCCTACCCCGCGCAGCACGTGCGCGGCCACGAGCAGGTGCTCCTTCTCCCGCGCATGTGCCGCCCTCTGCACCACCGCTGCTGCGCGTGCCTCGTCCCTCTCCCTCTCCGCCTCCCCCACTCGCTGCTTGCTGCGCTCCGCCTGCTCCCCGGGGTGTCGCAAACACGAAAGGATGGTAGGGGTGGGAAGGGGTGGGAAGAGGTGGGAAGGGATGAGAAGGGACGGGAAGGGATGGGAAGGGACGGGAAGGGATGGGAAGGGAAGGGATGGGAAAGGACGGGATGATTTGTTGGAAAGGGAAGGAATGAGAAGGGGTGGGAAGGGATGGGAAGCGATCAAGGTGTGGGAGGGTGCAGACTGAGAGGAGGACGTGTAGGAGACATGGAGGGCTGGTTAGCCTGGAAAATGGGGGAATGGAGAGGTCATGATTTCCACACCATCTCAATCCATGTGCCATGTGCCATGTGCCATGTGTGTCATACCATTGACCTGCCATTGCCCAATCATCAAGCTCACTCAACCACCCCACCAACCAACCAATTCACCCATCCGTCCAGCCACCATTCCCCAGCCACCACCACCACTCACCACAGGCAGCAGCACGCACCTCACCTTTGAGTTGCGTGAGTGCCATCTGCTCTGCTCTCAACGATGCCTTCAGTGCTGCCACCTGCTTTCGACGCGCCTCAAAAATAGCCACCAGTCCCCAACCACCCACCCACCACCACTGTTTGTGCCTGCACGCACCTCGGCTTTAAGCTGCGTGAATGCCACCTGCTCTGCTCGCAACGACGCCTTCAGTGCTGCAAACTGCTTTGACGGGCCTAAGAACAGCCACCACGCCCAGTCCCCAACCACCCACCACCACTGTTTGTGCCTGCAAGCACGCACCTCGGCTTTGAGTTGCGTGAATGCCACCTGCTCTGCTCTCAACGCCGCCTTCAGAGCCGCAACCCGCGTCTCTGCATGCTGCACGGAGTGGCGGGATGGGGGGAGAGTTGTAGGGAGAAACGGGCGGAAGAAACTTCGGGAGGAAAGGGGGAGTGAGGGTTCCTGAAAGCAAGCGTGCAAGGAGAAGAGCAGCATGCAGTATCGAGGATAAACACTTGAATTGGGCGCACAGGTGACCTGCCGCGCTCTGCACGAATAGCCACTTGCAGCGCTTGCACTAGGCTGTTGAAATAGCTGCCATCCACAGTGGAGGGGGGAAGTATTGCTAAGAATGGGTTCGATTCAATCGCACCTGCGCCCGTTGAACCTCGATCACTAACCTTCAGCGCAGCAGCAGCAGCTGGTCCACCCTCCCCCGCGCCCCCTGCTCCCGACTCCTCCCCAACCTTCCTCCGCTTGGCTGCGCGGCAGGCGTCTGCGTCGTCCGCGCTAGAGAGGTCGGAGAGGAACACGTGGAGGACACGGCGCGAGCACGCGCCACGGCAGAAGGGGCAGCTCTTGCGGGGTTTGCACTCCAGCCACTGCTGAAGGCTGTTGGACGGATAAAGCGGGAGAAATAGGAGGTTGGGAAGAGCGGGGAGGGGAGGTGGGGACGAGGAAGAACAGGAGGTTTCGAATGGAGCTCGGGTGAAGATTAAGGGGAGTGTGTGCACGGCTCAGGCGCAGGAGGGGTTATTCTTCGGAGCGAGATGCAGCTGATATGGCAGTTGTGAATGAGGGGCGTGGGGAGGGGGGGGGTCAGAGCGAAAATAATAAGTGAAGGAGCGTGAGAAACGGTTGTGGAGATAGAGGTGCGCGAGGAGCGGACGGGGGCAGCACCAATGGGTGTGGAACACGTGGCCGCATTCCACGACGACTTGCAGGGAGTCTTCCGCGACAAACTCCTCGTAGCAGATGGAGCAGCCCGGAGCCATTCTTCCCCGCGATACTACTAGTAGCTAGTACTACCGTAAGAAACTGTGCAATTTTGAGGCATTCCTGACGTCGCACCGCCGCGGGCGTAAAATCTAGGAGAGGCGATTTCGAAGGTTTTTTTTCAAGGATCAAGCTGCGCCGCGAACTGTTGGCGGAAATTGAGTAGAAACTGGCTTGTTTTTTGGCTGATATTTTAGCATTGCGTTTGATTTTGTTTCAGCATCATGCTGAGATGTCAGTCTCACTCCCAGGTCGAGGTGGTTCAAGGACTCTGTGGGGATGCACGGTTTGTGACTGGGTTACTAGTCGCGGAACCAGTGAGAAGAGTGGCGATGACACTAGAAGTGCCGGCGAAACAATGTTTCCCTGACTTGGACTAGCCACAAGATGTCTCGTCAATAGTTTGGCGACACTAGCGACACAGGGATTTCTAATCTGATGATTCGAATGTGGGGGACACGTCCATTCAGGAATCACGGCTGAAAAACTAAGGCAAAATTCAAATATTCAAATTTGTTCGGAAAACGAAGGGGTGACGAAATCAAGGAACATGAAAAGCTACAATTGTATTTGTTCAATTGCTGGGAAAATGTTTCATATTTGTAAGGAATTTTCTCGATATTCCTTAGCACGCCCTGCAACATCGCGTACAGCAGCAGCCGTTGTTCGCCCGTTACTGCTAACGGGGCTTCGCCGACTTCGCGCGCACTGTTTCACCAAACCTCGCACTGCTGGCTTGGCCGTGTCGGCCTACGCTTCGAGACTAGCCCGAGCCTCGCTTCCAGCATAGCACTAGCTAGCTCGCATGTGTAGTAAACAACTAATTCTAAGCGCCTCTGTCGTGTCAAAACACCAAGGCACAAGCGAAGCAGAACATATCGCATCATCAGCGAAGCGAGTCAACCCTCGGAGGTTGAGGAACTGCTAGAGGTTACGCGAAAGTCAAAGGTCAGCGACCTTTGACCTGACAAGTACAGCGCGACAACAAGGACACACAACTGACTCGCTACAGAGCAGTTGCCCGAGTCGTCACCGTATCGAACCGCAACATCAACAATAAAGTAGTTATAACCGTATCTCTTCGTATTCCTTGTACTCTTATATAATCCTGTATCTCTTTGCTTCAATCAATCTACTTTGCCCTCACATACTAGCGCAAGGTGGTTCACAACTCTTTATTAAAACGCTTCCGCTATTTCATCAGTCCTACCCAGAGTTCACCCCTGCAAAGATCGTAAGGGCTTTTTCTCACTCCAACATGGTATGAGAGCTATCAGGGGGAATTCAACTATCAAAACACCTACAACATCAGAAGACATGGCTACTCAGAAGGAAAGGAGTTCCTCCATTGGTTTTCCCAGCACTGCTCCTACTCCACCTCCTGCCTCTGGCCTACAGACAGAGGAGGGTACGGCAACAAGACCCACGGCTGAGAAAACTGAAACGAGAATGGTTGAACTATGAATCAATTGGGTACAAGTTGTTGGAATCACTGAACAGGAATGAATGAACTAGTAGTGAAATGAGTACAAGTACCTAACCGCGCTAGCCCCGCTCAGGCCACGATCGGCCCCGCGCTCGCCCCTCTAGGGCCCCAACCGGCCCTGTGCCGACCTCGCCGACCCGTGCCCACCACCTAGAGGCCCCGGGCGGCCCGTTCCCGCCGCAGCACACGAGGCAGAGCGGGCGGCCCGTCCCCGCTGTGACCCGAGCCGCGTGACCCGAGCCGCGCGCCCCGAGCCGAGCCGCGCCACCCAGCCGAGCCGCGACCCGACCTGAACCGAGCCGCGACGCCCTGCCCTACCTGGTTGGTCCTACCTGCTTCTCCTACTGCTACTGCTGCTATTTCTACTGTTCCTATGGCTAGCCCACAGGTTCTCGTGTTCGATGCTGAGGGCCGCCCTGTGAAGTTTGACACAAGTACAAACCCTAATTGGGTTGTACCCCTTAGGGGCTACCCCACTATAGCCTACACAATATGCATAAGCTACAATGTTCTGACACACCCCCATAGGCAAAGTGGGGGAAAACAAGAGGTCACTGGACCAGTCAAGCAAAGCAAAACAAAGCAAGCTCAGGGTGGATCACAAAGTCCCCACACATTCCGAGCACAAGTTCAAGGCCACAAGGCCAGTTCACATGCACGATTACATATATATATAAGGCTAGACAAGCAAGTGCAGGAGTATATATATATATATATATATTTATATATATATATGTAACAGTACAAGCAAGGTCAAGAGGTGAGCAAGTGAGGCAAGGTAGGCACAAGGCCCAGCTGAGTACAGAAGCGCTGATGGTCACAAGGCGCAAGTGCCTTGGTGAAGATATCAGCAGTGTTGGCCTAAGAGGCCACGTACGCAAGACACAGCTGACCACGCTGCTGCAGCTCACGAGCAAGAGAGTAACGGAGAGCAATGTGCTTCGTTCTGTGCTCCAGTCGCTGCTCTCGACACAAGGCCAGCATGGCCTTGTTGTCTACGTACAGCACTAGAGGAGAACCAGGCGGCTCTCCAAGGTCAGTCAGCAGGTAGGTGAGCCAGCAAAGCTCCTGTGCAGCCATGGCCCCGGCGTAGATCTCAGCCTCACAACTGGAGCCGAGAACAAAAGACGAGCGGGTAGCCCGCAACGAAACAGACCCGGAACCAAGGCTGAAGGTGTAACCCTGTGACGACCGCTGCGTAGCCTGGTCGTCCGCCCAAGAAGCGTCTGCGTGCCCAGTGAGGACCAATAGACTCCGCCCTCCAAGCACAAGCCCCATGCCCGACGTACTGCACAAGTAGCGCAACACCCTCTTCGCTGCAGCCATGTGCTCCGGTCTGTGTCTTCTAGGAGCAACATAGCGTGCGAGAATGCTAAGAGGGTATGCAAGGTCAGGTCGAGTGCAGGTCATCAGGTACATGAGGCAGCCAACAAGCTCTCGGTACGGGCCACTTGACTCTACGGACTCATCTGAAGGCAGAGCTGAGAGCGAGTGGCGAGTAGGCAGAGGAGTGGCCTGAGGCGAGGAGTACGTCAAGCCGAAGCGCTGAAGGACCTGCTGCACCATGTGTGACCGAGTCAGGGTAATGGTGCGGCGTGCTCTGTCCCGGGTGATTTGCAAGCCAAGGTAGCTGCGCAGTTCACCCAGGTCTGTCCACGTGTGTCTCTTCTGCAGCTCGGACTTCACGAGGGCGAGTCCAGTGTTGTTCAGGATCTGTCACTTTGAGAACTTACGACGAACTCATTACTCAACTAAACGCGAATGTGCTCGATAGGATTGTGCGCCTCAGAATTAGCTACCATCTCCAAGTTGAATCAGTCGTTAAGATGGTCTAGAGAGTAAGAACCATGTAAAAACGTCCAGCAGCCGCATAACTAGAATGGTAGAGGAAGTACAAGCATGTAGGCATAGGATGTTGGAGTTGGGAACCTCCAAGAGAACCATGAGAGGGAAGGGGTTCTCCAAGAGCTAGGGAAGGATGGTAGGAACCTTCATAGCAGAAAGGATGCAACCCTCATCATGAGGTCTTTGAGGTGTCACATGCAAAATCCAATCTAGTTGGATTTTGCCTAGGTGTTGCAACATTTGCAACCCATGCTAGAAACTTCTAGCCACCCCAATCCAAAAGTCAAAGTTGCCTTCCCTAACCACCCAACCAAAGATCACTTTATAGTCCTGTCCCAAGTAATCACCCAAATTAGATATAACTCCAAAACGTTATAAGAAATCCAAGTCTTGGAAATCTTGTAACTTGGGCGATCTTGGTCGGAATAAGGCGATCTTGGTATCGTTGGAAAGCTCTGGATTTCTCCAGCATGATCAAGCATTTAGACTTGGAGAAAAACACAGAGATGACAATATCCAACAGCCATGCATAATGACATATGCTCATGCAAATCATGCAAGCACAAATAGCACGAGCACTCGGCAGGACGTTAGGATGACGTGCACTCAGAATGACGTGCATCCAACATCCAGCAGTGTCAGCTGTGGCAAAGACCAAGTCGTCGACGTACACGAGGATGTAGAACGGCGGCAAAGAGGTGTCGGTGCGCAAAAACAGCGACGGGTCGGCAGTAGAGGGAGCAAACCCAAGAGCCGCAAGCGTAGTCCTCAGTGTGTCGTGCCACTCACGCGGTGCCTGGCGGAGACCGTAGACTGGTCGCCGGAGGCTCCACTGGGTGCCAGGAGGAAAAGTTCCAGTGAAGCCAGGTGGGCGGCGCAGCCAGATCTCCTCGTGCAGGCTACCCTGCAAGAAAGCAGTGCTGAAGTCAAGAGAGTGGAGCTCGTTGTCGCGCTGAGCGGCTATGTGCAGCAGCACCCGAAGAGTGGTCATCTTCGGGGTGGGAGAGAAGGTCTGAAAGTAGTCAACTCCCTGCCGCTGACTGAAACCACGAGCCACGTACCATGCCTTGAAGACAGGCGGGGAGCAGGGCGGCCGCTTCACCCTGAAAATCCACATGCCACTGACTATGTTCGCCCCAGGTGGGGGAACCTCGTCAATGTAGGTGCCTGTGGACTTCCAGGAAGCCATCTTTGCGTCCATAGCTGCCTACCACTGAGAGGAGTAGGGACCCTCTATCGCCTCCGCGTAAGAGCGCGGAGTCGGGATGTCAAGTGCATCCGGGTCTCCCTCAGGGGTAAGCAGTACGGACACGAGATGAGGTGAAGCAGCAGCCAGACACTGGAACTTCTCCTGCCTGTCCTCAAGGACGTCCGTGCCAAGGCCACACTCACCCCCGACGGACGGAGGACACACAGACTCAGACTCAGCGACAAGACTAGCAGCGTAGTCTAGACGACAGCGAGCAGCAAAGTCGACGAGCTTAGTAACTAGAGAAGACGCAGCAGTGGACTCAAAGGAAGGGTCACTGACAACAGTAGCAAGGAGACGCGTGACAGTAGGACTGGCAGCACGAAGAGAGTCCGACTCCGTGTCGGGAAGAGCAGGAAGAAAAGACTCAGGAGGAGAAGGCAAAGGTGCACGCAGAGGAGTAGTGGACGGACGCATAG